GAAGCGTTTAGAGCTCCGTCGACGGCTGCACGAGCTTCTCAACCATCGCGACACCATGTTCTTCGCTGCTGAGCGAGACCGCGTGGGCAAGGCCGTTGCCCGCGCGCACACGCAGGAGGTCGTCGTCCGTGACGACGAGGCCGCGAAGGGTGTCTTCTACTGCGTGCACTGTCAACGCCGAGACCTTGGCGCCGACGCGGGTGAGAATCGCAACAAGCACGTCAAGGTTGGCCTCCTGGACGCCGCCCGTCGTCGACGCAGCCTTGTCCGTGAGCTCGGCAATGAGCGGGACGATACTTCGCAGCTGTGGCCATTGCTCATGGTCACTGAAGTAATCTCCCGAACGCGGTGCTGTCGTGCTACTCGGTAGCATTGTGGGCCAGCTTTGCGGGCCGTGTCGGAGTCGATTCGAAACTCAACAGACATGGGTGTTTCTATTGGCTCGATTTTAAATTCTTTATAGCCAATCACAAGACTACGTCTTATATAGTGTGCGTATCCGCTTCCACAATAACGAGCGCAGCCCACAGACTCGCCAACCTCACGCAGGAGATATGTAGGCCTCTCTACACACTCACTGAACGGCGTACATGTCGTTTCCGACGCTGAACGTGGCGTAATCACGCATAAATCCATTTTTCATTTTTTGAGGTGGTGGCACAATTGCTCAATTACTCTACATGAAATCGCGGGGTTTGAAAGCTCCAAGGACCCCAATTCTGGATGCCACAGTTGGCTATGGATCTTAACCCGATGTGTGGCCCGTTTGTTGGGCCGCGCCGTTGCTTGGGCGCTCACACCAAACTCAAACTGCAGAGCGTCGGTTTTCCCAAAACGCGGTACGATATTTCGATTGAAAATAGGTTGAAATCGCGGAAACTGAGGACGCCATCTTGTTTTGTTGATGCTGGAGAGCGTGTTGCATGTGGCCGAGGAAGGCATCGCGCCTGCGATATGCCCCGTAATGAGCAGCCTAATGAGGCCTGTCTGCGCCGTACAGTATTTCAGTGTATAAAAATGCACACTATATCCTAGCCAATCATCAGTGTTCTTGCCCCATTTCAAATTTGCGTGGGCCATCGTCGCGCAGGACCGCCAGCATGTATGTGGCAAGCCGTGCGCAGGCCTCGGGCCGCGGGCTCATGCAACGTTGATGTAGGCGTGGCGCAGCTACAGCATCCGTGACGAGCCACCGATGCGGCCCTAGGGCGGAGCCCTGGCCAAATTTTTCGACGGCCTCTCGCGCGTCGGCCACACGACCGCCTCCGAGATGCGCTCGTACAAGTTCCCAAGACCTGCGACGACGCTGAGAGCGACGCCACGATATCTAGCATCGTGAGCGCCACGGCATCATACGCTTGCGCGTCCAGATCGGCCAGCGCTACGGCCGCATTCGACCTACGGCGGGTCGCGCGCTCGTCACTGCCGCCACACTCTACGTACATCTCGGGCGTCGACGCGCGACTCGTGTCTCGGCGCGAAGCTTGCATGCGGCTGGTCGCGCCGGCTGTCGCGCGCTGCACTCGAATCCATCGCCATGCCGAGCCTTTCATCTTATTTGTCCTCCATGGCTGACACGCTCTACGTTGTACTGACGGAGGCAAGACACGTGTCTTTGTAATCACCGAACCACACAGAGATGCCAGGGACGTAAAACGTTCGCAACGACGGCCTTGCCGTTACTCACGGGAACGAGCGCTACGACAAGGAGAATATAATATTTTCTCTGCTCATATGTCATTTTCCATGACGCCCGCCGTAGCGGTGCATGGCCAAAATGTAGAAAATGTTGAAGAATGCTGGGATTATTTTCAACGGCCCACTACAAGTCGCTAGTGATGGAGAGAGGTTGAACGTGCTGATTTGCGGCATTGTTGGGCACTGGGTGATTTTTCAACGAATTGATTTGAATAAAATGGCATTTTCGATACCACGCTCTATGCGCGGAGCCAGAACGCTGGGATCATTTCAGTGGCCAAGGACAAGTCTGTCTAGAATTATAAAGGCTCAAAGCATCATGTATTGGCTCGCGTTGAATATCTAGCTGATTTATGTTGGAATAAAACAGCAATTGTTGGCGAGTTTCAAAACAAATACTTGCAGGCCTTTGATAGCCACATGCGTCCGCATACAGCCTCTCTCGAGCTAGAGAAAGCGTCCCTGAAAATATCACAGCGATTGGAGAAGGTTGCAAAAATCTCGATTTCGGATCGACAAACCTCCTGCTCTGCTCTTCCATGCTGCTCTACAAAGAGGCTGGTCGGTAAATTTCCTCGGCTTCTACCACTGTGCCAACTTTGAGGTATTCCATTTCAAACGCGATGTTGTTGGCAAGCGGCGTCGGTGTCGTGAGGTCCTGCCGTTAAGATAGCACTACGATCTTAGTATGGCGTGCGTCGTGCTGCTGAGAAGTCACTACGATCTCAATTTGGCGTGCGTTGTGCCTCCAAGGTGGCACTATGATATTAGCTTGGCGCGCATCTTGCTACCGCTGTACGCCTCGCACGTCAACGCAGCTTCGCATGCTGTGTTCGGCACAGCGTCCTCTATCTATGTGCCAAGTCTTGGACATTTCGTTTTCGAACGCAACGTGATCGATCGCGCGGCCTGGCGATGCTGCACCGGATATCCGGATAACGTGGCTAATAACACGCAAGCTACCGCGGTGCGTTCCCGATTGCGAAGTCATGGCCAACGTCAGTCAGAATACAAAATGGCTCATACGTCGTAGAGTGATAAAGTTTGCTTTATATAGCACGGAGCACCAAGTTGCACCGTCGTGCGCGGCCCACAGCGCTCGAAACTCGTATCCAAAGTGATGCCGAATTGCACTATTTGCGGCATCATGTAGCGCTTTTACATGGCATATGCCGTATTTAAGGATTTCCTCAGTGGCACCGCACACGGCATTGTCCGGATAAAAAGCCATGAAGCGCAAGCGCCAAGCAAGCGAGACCGGCGCCGAGGTCATTGTCCGGGCCCTCCTCACGCAGGCGCTCGAGACGCTCGCCAGCATCGTACGTCTCTGCGCATCCAGCTTGCGACTCACAACGCGTAGACGCCTGGCCTGGACGCATCGGCCTTTCTTCCGCTCCGTGTCCTCAGCGCCAAGGGCCGCGACCTGCTGCCGACCGACGATAGCACCGTGGGCACGACGCAGTATTCGAGCGATGTTGCTGTGCGCCTCTTCTATGCCAAAGTGTTAGCGCCGGCGTTGACGCTGTCCGATGTCGCCGATCTCGTGCGCTCAACAGCGATGGTGCTGCTGGAAGGCCAGGCGTCCGACGTCGTGGCGCTCCGTGTTGACCCAGCGACGTCGCGCCTCGTGTTCTTTACACGGCAAGCGCAGCCGTCCGTATTGGATGTCGAGCTGGACCCGAGCATTCGCGTGCTGCACGCGGACGCAGCGATCCTCGTGGTCGACAAACCGCCGAACGTCTGCTCCGTCGACGGCGTCGACCACCCGACGTCGATCCACTCGCTCCTCAAGCGCAAATATCCGCAGGTAGCTTTTTGCGAGTATGCGCATGTTGCTAGAATCGTGTAGGTGCGCATGGTGCACCGACTTGACTACGAGACGTCGGGGCTGCTCGTCGTCGCCCTCACGCGCGAGGCCGCGGTGCACCTCAACCGCCAATTCCGCGAGAAAACCGTGCAGAAGCAGTACCATGCGCTGATCCACGGCGCCTTGGACCCGGTTTCCGGCGACATCCACGCGCGTCTGGGGCCGGACCCGACCCACCGCATCAAGCAGGTGGTCGCGGACGATGGCAAGGCCGCGGAAACGCACTACGAGCAGCTCTTTTCGTCCTCCGACACGTCACTCGTGCAGCTCAACCCTGTCACGGGCCGGACGCACCAGCTGCGCGTGCACCTCTGGAGCCGCGGGTGCCCGATCGTTGGCGACTCGCTCTACCACCTGGACGCAAACGGCGAGGACAAGCCGATTGGCCGCCTCCACCTGCACGCGTCGACGATCACACTGCAGCACCCCGCGTCCGGTGAGCGCGTCACGTACACGAGTCCTTGCCCGTTCGCGTGAATCTTGAAGCCCGTCTTCGCCATGTCCATGCACCGGGTGTCGCAGATCTAGTTTACTAAAACCGAGTCAAATACGTGGCGTCTTTGCAGCGTCGCTGTTGGTCACAGCGTGCGCCTATGACGCAACGCCAAAACTCGAAATGACTCGATCGGCGCTCGTCGCCCTCACCTCGGCGGATGTCGTTCAGCACATCGCTGCTTACGTGCGCTGCCCGTATGCCCTCGGTGCCTTCCTCCAACTCGTCCCGTCCACCGACCTCTCCATCGCGTTCCGGCATCTCGCGCGATTAGCGCAGACCATCGCGCTGCCCCACCTCTGGCCGCGACTTCGAGCCTCGGCGCTAACGTCATCGTTCGAAGTATCGCTGGCGACGACGCTCCTGCAGCATGGGAGCTCGACGCTGTGCCTCGACGAATGGCCCAAGACATGTAATCGGCTCGCAGCGTCCGCGCCGTCCCTCGCGTGCACCTTCCTCGCGTCCATGGCCGACGCCGCTGCGTGGACAGGCGCGCGACTTGTCGAGTGCGCGCTCATTCTTGCTTCCAGTGATAACGTCGATGACGTGGCGTCGGTCGCTGCGTGGATGGCGACGGCGCCGCGCTTGCGCAGCGTGCAGCTCGCCTATTACAGCGGTCTCGGACCCATCGAAGAGCGTCTCTCGCAGTCGATTTTTTCCCGCCGCATCGGCGACATCTCGCTGCACAACGTCGGCCCCGACGCGCTGCCGCCGCATTGGATTGCGCGCCTTGTCGACTGGCTGCGAAGAAATCAGGCGACGCGCGTGAGTCTGGCCGAGGTCGTCACTGGCGACGGGCCTGACGTGCTCGTCCTCGCCCGTGCACTGCATGCCTGCACCTCGCTGCGGTCGCTCGAGTTCACGCATGTCCCAGAGCTTGCGACGGCTTATCTTGCGGCGCCCTTGCCCAGCACGCTCGTCGAGTTGGCGCTGACGGACAGCGGCCTGCCGAATGGGTGCGCTGCAGCCCTCGTACACGCCAACTTGACGCGCCTCAAGCTGCACATCCACGACGCAGCAGACAGCGCCTTGGCTGCGGTCTTCACCTCGTGCCCGAGCATGTTGGCGCTGACGTCCATCGACGTTGCGTACGAAGTGCTACAAGAGCTTGCGTGCGGCGCTCTCGTGCGTGCGCTACCTCTCGTCCGAGCGCTGGACGAGCTCAAGCTCGAGTCGCTGCACGTCCGCGACATGGCTCTGGTCTCAAGTCTTGTCCCCGTACTAGCCCACTGCCAGAGCTTGCACCGCGTCGCCCTCCGGGGTCTATGGTGGCCACACTCGACGCTGCCCGCAACGGGCTCCTGCCTGCGTTACCTCTGCCTGAAAGGGTGCTTGCTTCAAGACAGCATAAAATGTATCGGTGGTGTCCGCGTGTGCTGCACGACGACGAACGGGCCGTGCTGGATCGACGGCAACCTCGACGCCTACCACATGGGAACGCTGGATCATTGCACGTCGGAGCGGGCGTCCTTTCTCTAGAACTCACGTAAAAACCACGCGAGGGTCGTATTTACCACGTTTATCACGTTTACAAAGACCAAATATTATGTGTGCGAAGTGTGTGAAATATTTGTGAAAATCATGAGTCTGTGATTTCCCAGATGGCACAACGGGTGCTGGCCGAGTCGCCAGAGCTGCTCGCCGCCATAGCGCGCTTCGTGGCCAGCGCGGATGATCTGTCGGCGCTCCTGCGCCTATCGCCTCGCGCGCATCTACCCGCGCCGCTGTGCAACCTTGTCTTGCTCGCCCAGACAGTGCCGATCGCCAGCTTGTGGCCGTCGGTGCGGTATGCGGCACTCGTGACGGCTGACGAAGTCGCACTGGCGACCAAAGTCATCGGGTTCTTTGGCCACTTGCAGCTCGACGGACGACTGAGCGATGCCCAGAGGTGCCTTGTGAACGTATCGGAGGTCATTACCGTGGACTACGAGGTCGCGGCCTCGGAAGCGGCGCTCTGGCAAGGGGATCGGGTCTCGACACTGACACTGCGGCTCGCTGCTGGCAGCTCGCCAGCGCATCTCATCGCGGTAGCGCGCTGGGTTGCGACGGCGCCTCGACTCACATGCGTTTGTTTGAGCTTTGAGCACTGGACGGACATGGCGTCGCTGCTCGTCCTCGCCGAGAGCATCAACGCGAACCCTCGGATTCGCACCATTGCGCTGCGCGGGCGCTCGCTCCCGGCGGTACCCGACGCAATGGTCATGGCGCTCGCGCGATGGATACATCGCGGTCATCTTTCCAGCATGAGTCTCGGCAATGTCCAGCCGCGCGTACCATTCATGGCATCTTCCATCGGCGGCGCCTTGCGCTCCCTCAAGAAGCTGCGGGAGCTCAGCCTCGAGGACGAAAGTGCAATCGCTGCCGCGTATTTCGGTCACCCAACGCCGCTGCCGCTGCGGCGCCTCTCGCTGCGAAGCAAGACTGGGTTCCACGCGTGGGGCGTCACGACGAGCCTCCTCAACAGTCACGTGGTGCTCCCGGTCCTCCACACCCTCCAGGTAGGGTACGCATACCTCGAACCAGCGATGCTGTCGGCGTTGGCAACCGCGATCCTGCGTCTTCCGGTTCTGGACGAGCTCGTCCTCACGTGCACGGGCGCCAAAGACCCGAACCTGGCGGAGGCACTTGTCCGCGTCCTCCCGCGCTGTAAGCGCTTGCGCCGACTCGCGCTGCGCAATGTTCTATTTGACGACGCGCGCTGGTGGCATGTGGCCGCGGCGTGTCCGTCTCTGCGCTATCTCTGTCTACGGAACGCGCAATTGGCGGATGACGTCGCGGCGTCTTGGCGCCTCTGCTGTCCGCGCGTCCGCATCTGCTGTGCCACTGCTGCTTGTGACATTCGTCGCTGCGAGATTCCCGACGCCCATCCGGCCAACGGAGCGATAGATCCGGGTATCGTTGGTTTGTAAAATGAACCATCGTTTTCCCTTTCAATTTCGACTTGCTGTCTCCATCAGAACTGATGGCGCAGAACTGATTTGTCGCATTGGCGCTGCGTGGCTGTAGATTCGCATGACGCACATCTCCATCAACGATTGGAACCAGCAACGAAAGCCACGCTGAAACCCTCCGTCCTTGTCCCACGGCCACCGAGCTGCGCGTGCAGGCTGCCACGTAAACCCTTTTATAATGAATTGTAAATCGAATTTAGAAGGTCTCTATAGCGATTGGCCCATTGGCCAGTGCCGGTTCAGTGGTTGGATCATCTTGATGCTGCTGGCGAGGCTTCAGATCGCGAGCCGGCCGTGGCTAACCCGCGGCGCCGCCACGTCGGGCCCCACGAAGCTACGCCCAGAGCGCTTCGTCGACCTCGCTCGGCTCTTCCAGAGCGAGCAGCAGACGCACCGTGAATTCACCAAGATGCCATCGCGCTTCGCCGTGCCGACATGCCCGCCGTGGCCCAGCGACGTGCAAGGCACGACGATCAACGTGTCGTTCTACCGCTCGTCTCATAAGCGCGGCCTTCTCAAGCCGGGTGTCGTTGCCGCGCTTGACGCCATCGGCTTTGTCTGGGACCTCAGCGAGTTCAAGTGGCAGTGGCGCATGCGGGCGTTCAAGACGTACCGCGAGTTGCACGGCCACACCAACGTGCCGCAAGCCTTTACGGTACCCAGCGATGATCCACGCTGGCCTTCGCACACGTGGGGGCTTCCGCTCGGCGAGATCGTCCACAACATGCGGACAGGCGCCATGGCAATCCGGAAAGACCAGCGCGCGCAGCTGGAGGCGATTGGGTTTGTCTGGGCAGCCAACAAGTACAGCTGGACCGATAAGCTCGACGCGCTCAATGCGTTTCGCGAGCTGCACGGCCACGTGAACGTGCCGCAGATCTTCCAGGTCCCGTCCGAGAGCCCCGAATGGCCGCCAAACACGTGGGGTCTCAAGCTCGGGGCCGCAGTGCGCAACTTCCGCATGCGCAAGAATGTGATTGCAAAAGACAAGTACAGCGACCTCGAGGCGATCGGGTTTCTGTGGTCGACACGGCAAAAGGCCGACAAATCTCAAATTAATCACTAACGTCGTTAGCAAGTACTACTGGTGCACGCATTGTTGAACGCGATGCGCTAAATTCGCAAGCGATTGACGAGCATAACGGCTGCTATCTATATAACATCGATGGAGTTCGAAGACTTCCCGTCCGATGACGACGTGACATTCAGTGACGACGAAGACTCGGCACAGGTGCTCGACCTCTTGACGCTCGTTGCGACCAAGCCGCTTGTCGTGACGGCGCCCAAAAGTGCAACACTGGTGGTTGACGCGCCCTGTGCACTGGTGGGTGACGCGCCCTGTGATATTGCCCCAGAAGCGTCTCCTGCGACGGTGCACGTGACACCTGCAGCGGTCTACGACGACGAGCCCGCCATTTTGCCATCGATTACGGCGCCACTGCCACGCATTGAGACTACGGCACCGAGCGACGAGAAAGAATGGGGACCGCTGTTCGACTCAATTTGTCATGTCAATGTACCACTGCTGTTGCTTGGAAGCAAACTCAACCGACGTAGGTGTGCGTGGACGATGGCGACGTTGAAGCAACTGTGGTTCGTAGCACTAAGATTTAGCAACAAGCTCATCATCATGTTTTTAGGCCGACGTCGCGACACGAAAGCACGTCCTCGATATCTACCACTGCCTACAGCAGGTCCTACCTGCGAGAAAAGTCGCCATAACTTTATAGCAAGCGTAGACGGCTGAGGGCGCGACATCGGAGTCACTACTAGGATTGCTGCAGCAAACGCGGGTGTTTCCGTACCTTGTGTCCCAAGCAGACTGGGACGGCGCGAGGCTCGAGAAGTCGGAACTGTCGCCGAGTCGGCTCTACGAAGTCTTGCAGCATTGGTGCGCCGCGAACCAGCCTTTTTGTGCTCTCTACCGAGACCTCGCGCACCGGTATGTGACCAAATCCGAGCACCAAGTCTTGACAGGGCGTAGATGGCGCGTCGTAACGTCGCTCCTCTTGGGCGGGGCGGACGATGAGGCAGCCGCCGCGCTGGCTGCGTGCAAGGTAGGTTACGTTCAAGCAAGTTGGAGACTCATGTCACTGGCAGGCCAAGGCGCACGAGTCGTCTTGGCTGCAGGCAATGGTGTACCAGCGACCCCGGCGTCAACTTTCACCAGAGACACCAGCGCGGCCCAGTGCGCGGTACCACCCTCGAGAATAACCCCGCGTTGAACTCTGCCATAGCGCGTCCAAGCGCCTCGAGGCATTCGTGACGCGCATGCAGGGGGACATTGCGTCGCGTCGCCAGAAAACCCAACAAACGCTTGACGAGAAACAAGCCCAAGCCGATGCGGCGGCCAAAGAGGCGCTGCCGCCGCCGCCATCGCTGGCCAAAGGCACCAAGCGGATTCTCAAACAGAACGGGTGGGACGCCACGTCACCACGAGCTTGCGTCAACCGACTCCTCGCTGACCACGCGCTGCATCGGCGAGAGCACGACCAGCAGCGAGCGCGGCGCGAGACCATCGACGCCGAGACAGGCCAGGCGTTCTTTCGACCGAAAATCAACAAGTACCGCATCGTCGCAAATGGAGGCGCTGCCAACCGTGTACTTAGGTCCAACCTCAAGCGCCACGGCGACGTCTGTGTCGAGCTGTACGACCAAGCCAAGGCCACAGATGAGAAGCGCGCGACGCTCCAGAGCCAGCTGCAGCACGTACAGAAAACGAGACGGAAACGCAGTCTGACCTTGAGGCGTAGAAGGCACAGCAACTGGCAACTCCGCGCATGAACCCAGCGTCACTCAAGGTCTACAAAAAGCGACTGCTTCGGGAAGTCGACGTGCTCTTGAGTCTCGTGCCGGGCGAACCCAGCGACGACGCGACCCTCTCGAGCGACCACCTTCTGCACGTGTTTGGCTACTTTGGTAGTACTTGTTTTTCGTATCGACTTGGCATTCACGAGAGTGCTCGAGGCGTGTTGCCGCTGGCACTGGCGACACCAGAGAACACGCTGTGGCAGCACCTTCAGGCATCAGTCACGACGGTGCGCGCGCTCAAAGAGTGGCTCTTCCGCATCATCCTCGCGCCTGGCGGTGTGGACGTGGACGATGGACAGCGGTGGTTCACGTCGTGACTAGAGCTGCGGGGCGCGCAAAAGCAGCTGCGGCAGCACTACCTCGCTCGAGACCGCCACGCCAAGCGCACGAGTGACGACGAGTTGTCACCCAAACACGGCACACCAGGGACAGGCACGTATTCGATGCACGGCCATCTCGTGTCCGCCACGAAACCCGACCCGACCATCGCCCGCCAGCGCGAGCTCGAGGCCAAGTTGCAGTGGCTGCGCGACGAGAAGCGAGCGCGCGAGGAGGCCGAGTGCACGTTTGCTCCCGACTTGCGGCAGCCGCCGATCGAGGTTGGCGGATTTCCGAAAAAAGGACCCGAAATGACGGTTGATTCAGGTGCGCCCACCAGACGTCGCGGCCCAACGCCTGTACGAGCAAGGCCTCGAGCAAAGGCGCGAGCGCGACGAGCGCGTCCACGCGGCGCGACTGGCCAAGCAAGCGCAGGTCGAGCGCGAATGCACGCGCCCCGAGAGCCCGAGTGCCGCCGCCCGACTGCAAGCCTTCCTTGCGCTGCCGCCTCCGGTGCGACAGCACCAAATGCGTGTGGATAGTGAGGCGTGAGGATGTAGAAGCATATCGATGGCTTTGAGAAGGCCGTGCAGTCGCTGCGCCGCGGCCACGCCGAGCGAGCGTGGCGCAAGGCCAAAGGCGAGTCGCCCATCGCCCTGCACTTGGACGTGACCAAGTTTCGCTCCGAAGATGGCCGCACAACGGTGCCGCAGCCGTTCCACTTGACCTCGGTGCGGATATCGACCTCATATTGGCTCCTACGAACCCGCTACGTAGTCGACGCCAAAGGACGTCTCACCGACGACCGTTCGCCGGCACCAGCCCAGTCAGTGGCAGCGCGAGGCAACGGCGTCCACAGACGATGGCAACGACGACGACTGTGTCCGTGTACAAGTCCACATTTCGCCGACGCTTATCCACACGCTGGACGTGTACGCCGACAGCGATGTGCCCGCGCTCGTCAGCCAAGTGGTCGCCGATTACAACGTAAGTATTTGCTTCTGTCCGAGTGCCCAACGGTGTCGAGTAGCTCGAGCCGTACCAAGCCGACCGCCTCTTGACCCTTCTCTCGAGCTCTGACGAGAGCGTCTTGGACGACGCGCCGCTGCTGTCGAGGCTAGAGACGCTCGACTTTTCCAACATTGCCTAAGATTTATGCAAGTTCTTAGCTCTCGGCGAGCTCGTGGCCGCAGCGCCGGCAAAACTTGGCGTCGTCCTGGTGGAGGTTCATGAACGGCCGGCAGTTGGGCGTTTGACAGTGCAGGACACGGAAGCCCATGTCGGTGAGCGAGACGGTCGACGGCGTCGCGTTGAGCACGAGGGGGCACGCGATGAGGCCGTAGCCTAAGCTCGAAGGTGAAACCAGAGATTCTCTGGCAGAGATTCGGAGAACCCGAAAACATGACGAGCGTCGCGAGCATCTTGCCGGGCACCGTCTGCGGCGTAATGTCGCCGTACCCGACGGTCGTGAGCGTCACCACCGTCCAGTACATGCTCACGGGGATGTTCGAGTAGCCGTGGCGCTCGCCTACGCAGTATGAGGAGCCGTTCCCTTCTGCCATGACAAGGACCTTCGATGAGATACATGGCGCATCCGATCACAAGGATCATTGTAAAGGTTGCGCAGAGGAAGACGGCGATGCGGCGCTTGTTGGTGTGGATGTTGTCGGCCAAAGTCGCCGCCGCTTCGAGGAAGCGCGCGAGCTTGAGGATGCGAAAGACCCTACGAGAGCAATGCCACTGGAGGTGCGGAGGTGGAAGAGGGTACCGGAGGATGCGAAAGACGCGAAGCACGGCAAGGTGCACGAGCGGGCGCGCTGTCGGAACGAAGACGACCAAGTACGTCGGAAGGATCGAGACGAGGTCCACGACGCCGAGCGGGCTCTTGGCGTACTCGCGCGGCTGGCGCAAGCAGAGTACGCGCAGAACGTACTCGACCGAGAAGAGAAGCGTAAAGAGGATCTCGAGGAAGAGCAGCGTGTTGTCGAACGACTCGCGGATCGAGCGGACGCTGTCGAGCACGGCGACCGTGACACTCACGATCGTTAGCACCATGATGGCGAGGTTGATGCGCTGGCCATGGCGCGTGCTCGTCAGGTAGAGCGTCTCGTACGTGAGCTGCCAGCCGGCGCGCCAGCGCACATCGTCCCGGCGGCCACTCACCTTGGGCGACGAGCCAGGCGTGTCCGCGGTCGGAACCATGGGCGGCGGATCGAGCGGCGCGAGATGCTTGCGGCGCGTTGGGCTGAGCGGGTTGCTACCCTCGCGGATGCCAAGGATGACCTCCTCGGACGGGCTGTTGGCTTGCACCTCTTCGTACTCCTCGGCCATCATGCTCAACGCCAAATTCAACAGAGCTGCGAGACTGGGTCTCGAGCTTCGAACTTCGTGTCTTTATCATACAAGCGTAAATGATCCCTCCAGCTTCGAACTACGACGGCGCACGGGATTGGTTGATTGACGGAACGAAATTGATTACGCAGGGTAAAAAGTATCTTGGAATGAGACAGGAATAAAATAAACAAGCACATTGTATACTATTTCAGTGAGCCGAATTGGTGTTATGAAGCGGCCGACAAAGCAAAGCTGGGGACTGTCGCCGACGAGGCGACTCTGTACATTTCTGTCGCCGGTTTGCTATCGAGCCATCTCACGCTTTGGGAAGAAGCAGCGTGTGGAACCATGGTGTGGATCGCGCCTGCTAGATTACTTTGCGTAAAAGACTGTGATCCCTTCCCTCCAACTACACTATATTCAATCTTCGAGCTTCGATAAATTCTCGTCTAAGTGCGATGGTCGATCTCACTTCGAACTTCGCTTTGTCGATTTGAAAATTCCAATTCGACGGCAGCGACGATGCGCGCTCCGATGCAGCGGCTGAAGGACAAGGTAGACATAGCTCCATGCGGCGAGAGGTCGATGGTCTCATGATGGAGGCTGCTAGATGAGCATATGCGAGCGCACGCTGATGAGCCACCACACGCCCGCGGCGACGGTCGTCAAGGCCCTCAGCAACGTCAGCGATACGGTGATGGAGCTGCACAGCCTCGGTCAGCTCGACACCGACAAGTGCATCCACGAATTCAACCTCATCGCGGTACACCGCCATCCGTGGTGCGTCGGAAGAGGTCGCTCTCATGGTGCGCATTAGGACACGGTCTTTCTGCAGCTCGACAATACCAACCCACAAGTGCTCGCGTCGGTCTGCGACCTCCTCCGCGCCCTGTCCGTCTGCTGCGGCGAGATGTTGCGACCGACTGCCGATGCGCTCATCAGTGACATCTTCGTCCTCTGTGGCCACAGCGCGCGCAACGTGGCGTTCCACGCCAAGGAGTGCGTGACGCAGTGGACGCAGCATACGTCCTATGCGCTGCAGCCCGTCGTGACGATCCCAGACGCGCGCTTCAGGTCGCATCAAGGTACTTCCACGTAGCTGTTCATGGAGCTCATGGGCCGCGTAGACAATGTATTGTACGCCTATCACTTTGCGCTGCAAGTGCCCACGATCTGCGACCAGTGGCAAACGGCCGAGATCGCCCCGTACCACGAGGAGATCTTCCAGGTCCTCTCCGCCTGCATCGAAGACGATAACACGACGATCCGCGTGGCTGGCTTCAAGGCGCTTAGCGCGCTCTTTGATTTCCAGCGCCACGAGATGAAGATGAGCGCGACGCTCCTCGCCGAGAGCTACTTGGGTGCGATCTCAAAGCACATCATCCACGATATCCTGCGCGAGCTGCCGCAGTCGCTGCTTGCCCAGACGCTCTCGGCGTACCACGCTCGGCAGTCGCATGCGGCGCCGACACCCAAGTTCCGGACGCAGGAGCTCATGTACCAGACGCCGCGCCGGCAGCAAGCGCCCAAGAGCTTCCAGAGTCGCATGATGCTCGCGAAAGGGTCGCCCGCCATCAAAGCGCCCTCGACGTACTTTGCCCAGCGCAGGCCGGTGCAAGAAGACGCCGGGCTCCGGTCGCGCCGGCCGCGCCAGCCACTCTTTGCCTCGACCGACAATACCGCCGTTGTTGCGACCAACCGCTGGGATCAGGTCGGGAAGCTCTGTCGCATGGGCGGTCGCGGCTGCCGCTGGCTCGTCGACCAAGTGCTGCCTCGCCGCGTCCAGCGCTGGCTCACCTTCTGGATCACTGTCGTCTCGGTCGTCTTTACGCTCGTCTCGGTCCTCTACTGGGTTCTCCTGGCGCCAGCCTAGATGTAGCCACATAGTACAGACGCCGTCGTGGCGTATAACTTAGTCGATCGTGTTATAAACGCGCGCAGAGTCAGGAGAAGGGGCTGGTGCTTCAAGCCGCGTTGGGTTGCACTCGTGAGTGACCTCAGTTGCGCATCTGCCATTCCGCCGTTGAAGCTGCGTCGTGCGCCCACCTTCTGGCCGCATCGCATGCACGGAGCAAAGGTGATCGCGAATCTAGAATCGTGAAGCCTTCTCTCCATCGCACCGTCCTGCAGGGCGTGGGTCAGGTAGGATAAGTTCTTATTGCTGCTGAGAATACTGGTGCTGCTTCAATTCCCGTGGTCCTTGTTCTTTGTCGTCGGGAGGGTGGAATGCGCGTCAATATTTTCGGCACCACGTCCATGTGCATACAGCTGCTGCAGTGCGGCCAGCCTGCCGCTGCTGCTCATTCTCCGATTTGCCAGACACTACACCATGCAACTCATCTCGCTAGCCCTCCTCGCTGCCGTCGTCGCTGGCGACTCGCCCACCGCCGCGCCCACGACGCCGGCGCCGACGACGACGTCGTTCTGCTCGCCCAACATGGCCATTTGCTACACGAACGCCGGCGTGCCCTCGACGTGCTACAACCCCGCGCACTCTGGCTGCTGCAACGGCAGCCCGTACCTCCTCTGGGACTGGCAGTCCATGCCGCAGTACTGCTGCAAGGACAGCACCGGCCACTACAGCGTCGTCGCCGCCTACGGGTGCCCGACGCTCACGCCCAACGCCACAACGTCCGCGCCCTCCAACGTCACGACGGCGCCGGGCACCAACACGACGACGACGCCCGTCATTACGCTGCCGCCTGTGACCGGTTGCACGCCCGTGAGCGTTCGTGGCGACGCCACGTATTGCATTGAAGGGCCCATCTGCAGCGGCGACGGACTCTTGCCGGCGGGCATCAAGTGCCCAGTTGCCGGCGCCGTTGCCTCGGCTGACTGCCACTCGCACCTGCCGAGCTACGTGAGCGGCACCGACTGCGCGCTCGCGGTCAACACGACGTGCGCCAAGATCCCGACGGGCGCGTGGGGCTGCGTCCTCCCGTCGTCCTTGTAAACGCGTAACATATCCTCTCGTGTATCTAGTCGACGCACCATTAAGTTAAAAGATGGAGGGCTACGCGTGGCCATTGTAGAAGTACGAGATAACGCTACGCGTCAACTGCATAGCGGTCTGTAGTGTGCTGCGCCACAGCGGCGCGTCGCGGTGCACGATGCGGTGGGAGGTAGGGCGGAGGTGTTTGGTGGACTGCGCCATCGCGTTCGTCTCTTGTCGCCACTCATGGCGCTTGCGGTGCGCGACGAGGCAGGCGACGCCGAGGATAACGCCGCATGCGAGGCTCGGGCCCATGAGGAGGAAGGCTAAGGCCGGCGGGCCGTCCAAGACAAGCACGACGAGGCCCAAGCACCATCCAAAAAAGCCCCCAATGATACCACCCAGCAGCAGCAGCAGGATCTCGTGGTAGGTCGATCGCTCATGAGCCGCGATCTTGGCCTTGGCTCGCCGAGCGACCGCTGTGACCTGGATCCGCTTGGTCTCGGAGAGCTCGAGACGCCGCTCCATTGTGCGCACGCGCGCCTTGTAGGCCTCGACCTCCGACCGCAGCTCGTGCACGATGAGCTTGGCCACGTCGCGCTGCGCCATGAGCTCCTCTTCCATGAGCGTGGTGTCCATGGCCAGTTGGTGAATCTCAAGCTTGTTCGGATTTTCCGAAAAGGTCAGATCTTGGCCGAGATTGGAAGCGCACCAATCAACGGCCAGTATTAGCATCGAAGACGTCGAAACTTCGATCGAAGCTGGCTCAGTGGATACAAAAAGAGTGTGTTTACAAGACAGCCATCATCTGACCTGCGACTGCGGGCACCAACTTCAACGTGCCGATGGTTGCCTAAGGCAAAATCATGTATCGCTAGTGCTCGCCTAGCGATCTATGGGACCAAATATAACTATACCGTTGGGAAATAATGACTAAGGATTTGAAACGCCGACGCACCTTTTCGCGCGATGCTTATCGGGCTCGCCTTCCTTGCCGCCTTCCTTGGCGCGAGCGTCTGGTACATTGCGATCGTGGCGCCAACGCTCGCCAACGACCACTTTTGGTCGGGCTTTGAGGCGTCCGCAGCACAGGCGTACTTGCTCGACGTCTACCGCATGCAGCTCACGACGACGGCGTCTGCGACCCTCGACCTCGGCTCGCCGTCTCAAGCCATTTTAAAGCCCTACAGCCTGTCTACCACATCGGGGCATGTCAACCCCGCGTACCCGCGTGCCTTGGCCCTGGCCCGCTACAGCTCGCTCGAGGACGCTGTCGAGCATCTGCGCACCCTCGGCGTCTACCTCTCGACGATGTTTTGCTGGGCCGACTTTGGCCGGCGCTGGGAGGTTGGGCACACGGCCGCTCGCCAAGCGCGTTGTGACGCGACGAACGGCGCCGTGTACTTGGAGGCGTACCTCCGCAACGTCGACGCGTGGGCAGCCATCGACGTGAGCATTGTCTTTGTGAACGCGATCGTACAGCAGCCGCAAGGCGCTGCGTGGTGGACAAGCGTCCTAGCGCCGCAGGTGTCGGTCGCAGACGAGGCAGCTTACTGGCACAGCTGTCAAGTAACCAGTTTTCAAGCGCAGTGGTCCAACGACTACCAACTCGGGCTCGTAGAGACCATTGCCGTGCGCAACATGCTCGGGTGGCACCAGGCGCTGACTGTGTCGGCGATCGCGTTCGCAGACCGGGGGGCGCTCGGCACGTCGCTCTTCCTCAACCCTTCCTTCTCATACAACCTCTGGATTGCGCAGGCCAACTACGGCGCCGGTCTGAACACCAGCATCGTTCGCAACCTCCCCGACTACATGGGCGACGGTGAGCTGGAGCAGTACACGGGTGTCTACCTCGCGACGCCTGCGAGCGTCATCGTCCACGAGTGTCTGGGTCCGCTCACGGCCGTCGACTTGTATCTTGTCGCTCCACCCTACGCTCTCGTGACTGCCCTCCGAGCGGTCGAATCTGCCATCGCCGTCGCACTGCAAGCCGACGACGATCTTCTTACAGCGTATGCACTGCTGCCGTCGCCGACACTCGACCCGGTCCCTCGCGCCTGGTCGTCTGGTGACTTTGTGTTTTACGGCGGCAGTCCACTGTGCTTGTACCACCCTGGCACCACCAGTGTGCTGCAGTCGTTTGCCTTCGACGACACGTGCAACGCACTCGTGCCGAGTCACTTGAATGTTCACCCGATGGCCGCGATGGTGGCGTCCTTGGCCGTCGACGCAGCGGACGACCCGTGTGCCCTGTGCAGTGCTAGTACGCGAGCCGCTTGCAGCTCTCTTCGTGCAGCAACAACGATGATCCTGCGCAACACTTCTCTGCGCGACGAGAGGGCGACGCTTCTGTCGACGGCGCACGCCGTTCTCGACGACATTGAGGTCGTGCAGCTGGCGATGACAAGGTCGCAAGCGCCAATTCTGCTGCGCCACGCACTTCTCGGCGCTGGTGACTGGGAATACTTTGGCTGGATCGCGCTCATGGACTGGGTGTACGGCGACCGCGAGGTCGTCTCGTTTCAAGGCGACGTCGCAACAGTCCACATCATGTCGGAGCCGCTGCCGCCCATCGTCGTCACCCCGAATGCGCTCGAAGTTCCTAAGAGCACGAGCCTCTGTCTCTACTCCAACCTCGTAACCTCCACAAGCATTTTGGTCGTTGTCGCCGTCATTGCAGCCGCCGGCGCCGATCGACAGAGCGGCAACCACCTGCTCTGTTTCTTTCGCGTTGCCGGACCCGTCTGGGTCGGCCGACCGCTGCTGCTCTTGCGTGCTCTGCCCGCCATGGCCGCGCTGTGCACTGCACCGCTCACGTTTCACGGTGACGCTCGCTTGGGTCGGTTCGACCAAACGCCTCGGCCACTCCTGCACACGTGCGTCCTTGCGCTTGAAGCGACGTGGATCACGACGGTCGTCAACGATATCTTGCTCGTTGTGACCACCCGCCGCGCCCGACGCGCCGCCGTCGTGAGTGGCGCGCTTACTTGGCTAGGACTTGTGATGTTTGATGTTGCGGCGCCGCTGGAAGCGCACGCGACAGTGGAGCGGACCTGCAGAAGCCAAGACGGTGTACTGCACTGCGCCAGCGGAATTGTCGCGATTGGCTCGCTGGACCGCGCGTTTTGCATGCTAGCTCTCATGGCGCTGGCGTTGTTTTGCGGCTACGTCTGCATACCCCCCGAGCGCGCACTTCGCGAGACGCCCAAAGACGCACATTTCGTGCCGGCGAGCGTCATCGCTTACGTGGCACCCTCGTGCGAAAGCTGGCCCATCGACCACGCGACCGCGGTCATGAGCGGCTTCTTCCGGTGTCGCGTTGGGTCTAGGGTCTACATGCTCGACCTGAAGCTCTGGCGAGTCTTTACGACGGACGTTGGCCCCCGGGTCGACCCTATTTTGGCCATCGACACCCACCTCGTCGCTGTCGGTCACACATCGTGGCGTGCGCGCGGCAAGGTCATTGCGGGCCTAGCTTACGTGACGTTTTCTGCTGTGGGTAGCATCTCGTACCTCCAGCTCTCGACCGTCAACTTGGGCAACGACATGTACTGGGCGACGTTCAACACGTCTGGCATGCACACGTTTGTCGCCAACTGGTTTCACCGCGAGTTCATGACGGAGCACAGCAGTGTCCGCCTCGACGCGCCTGAGTTTGCCGACGTCTTGATCGACTACGGGTCACCCGAAGCGCTCATTCAGTACTCGCCCTTGCGAGCGCGGGCCATCCAGTCCGAGAGCGGGTCGGAATTGTTGATGATGCTGCATGGTTTGCGTGAGATGGACGGATGCAATGTGCCTTGGATCGCAACCATGTACTGCTGGGTGGACTTTGATCAAACACTCGAGATGGCGTCGTCGTCCCGTCGACAGGCGCGCTGCCGTGATCAGTATGCGTCCAACGGCGCCGTCTTCTTGGAGGCGGTTTTGCGCAACATCGGTCGAGCCGCGTTTTTAGCTTGCTGGGGCGACTCGTTTGAACGTGGAATTGCCTCGGCTGTCCGCGTCTTGCGCCCGTCGTGGCTTGCGTCGCTGCCATCGACACCAATCCCAGTGACGCAAGAAATCTTACTTTGGCGCTCGCATAGCATTGCGTCCTTCACCACGCAGTGGCAAAACTACAAGTCGATCGGACTCAACGCGGGTTTCTCGGTCACCAACACCCTCGGTTTCTCGTACGACTTTAGCATCGAAGCCCACAACGGCGCGTTCACAATCGAGTCGTCGACGTCGCGGAGCTTTTACTGGACGTTTGCCAGCGACCTCTGGGCTATCGCCAACAACGGATCTCAGATCGTCGGTCTCTCGCTCGTGCGACAGAGTCCCCAGTTTGCCTTTTTGAATCACTCGGCCCAAGACATGTACATGCAGAACGGCACCGTGCCGTCGCCGCTCAGCATTGGCGCGTCGATCGTCGCATTGAGCATCGGACCGTTTGGCGCCGTCGACGTCCGCCACGTGGCAGCGCCAGCCGCGCTGCGTCAGTTCGTGCAGAGCATCACGCGTGCGACCGCCGAGGCGTTGGCCACGCGCAGTGACGCGCGCGAGGCGTACGCGTCCTTGGAGCTCCTGGCTCAGCTGACGCCGATACCACTCGCGATCAACAAGACGCTGTACATGGGCGCGGGCGCCAGTGTCCTTTGCCATAGAGCTTTCGGCGTGTTCAACTATACGGTATCGATGGCGCAGTTTCTCGGGTCCGATGCGCTCTGCAGCCGCATGCAAGGCGAGTGGCTCTACCCAACAAAGAACCAAGCGCTCGTGGCCTCCATCGCGTCAGGTATCGCGCTCACCTCCGAGGCAACGATGCGACAGGCTTGCAGCACCGAAGCACTCAATCCCAAGGGCTGCGGCAATTTTGTCACCAACGTTGCGGCGCTGGCGTCAACGCTCTTCTCTGCCGAGTCTTTGGCCGCCAACCGTCGCGAGGCCATTGCGCTGGAAGCCAACGATGCGCGCGTGGGGTTTACGCAGTTTTTGTATCGCACCGAGACCGCGTCGTACGAGCTGTTCTTCCAGAAGCTCTTTGAGGAGCCTGGCATGCATTTTGCCAGCTGGACCATGGTCTACGACTGGGCGGTCGACGCGCGGGAGGTACTCGCTTTTGACGGCGATATCGCGTCCTTTGCCGTCCTCTCGACGACGTCTCGCGCCGTGTCGATGGCCGCCAACACGATCGAGATGCCGGTCAACGTTGTCGTCTTCTTGCGAACGCTGTGCCAGTACGTCTCGGGCGTCCTCGCAGTCATCGCGCTCGTTGCCATTGGGTACACTCTCCTGAATGCGTTTACGACCGAGGGTCGAAACCTCTTTCTTCTCAACCGAGTCGCCGGCGCCGTCTGGGTCGGCCGACCGCTGCTGTGCGTGCGCAGCTTGACGGCGCTTTGTATATTGAGCACGGCAACGCTGCAATTGCAGCGCACCGACTTTGTCACCACTGTGACGACGTCGCGTCAAGACGTGAGCCGGACGCTTTTGACATTCTCGAGGGTCCTCGCGGCGAGCGAGCTCGGCTGGCTTGTCTACACGCTCGAAGACGCTTTCATGATCTACACGAGGGAGTACGCGTCACGGTACACGACCAAAACGGCGCTGCTGACGTGGCTTGTGGCCACGATCCTGAGCTTCGCGAGCCCCGTCGAGCACAGCGTGCGTCTCCAGCCACTTTGCACGGTCGTCGAAATGGACTTGTCGCTCGCGTGTCAGACCGGCGACGTTGCGATCGGGTCGCAGACGCGGCTCCTCGTGCTTGTGGCGATCGCGGTAGCAATCTCGAGCACTTTTTACGCCACCGCCCGCCTCGTTGGTGCCCGCGCTCGGGTCGTCGACGCCTTCGAGTCGCACTTGACCTCGTGTGGCGCCAAGTACCTTTTCGAGTCGACCGACTGGGTCCACGACCATGTCCAGCACATCGACTACGCCTCGGCCGCGCTCACGGGGCTCCTCGCGTGGCCGCTGAGCGAGTCGTCGGTCGCTGTTTTTGACATCAAGACATGGCGGACGCTTACGATCGAGCGGACGCGCCTGGCGTCCCACGCGCTCTCCCGCGCGATTCCGCTACGTCAATGATTGGCGTCAAAAAGGTCAGATAAATGCTGAATTTAAGAGCCAGCCAATCAAATGCGCTTTTTATCGTCGAAGATTCACAAACTTCGATCGAAGCAAACATTTACCCTACAAAACCATTGTTTAAAATACAGCCATTATCTGACCACAAAGGTCGCCACTTCAACACGCCCGTGGGCACTTGCCGCGCTGGATGATCATTGTCGGCGGCAGCGTCTGGGGTGCCTGCAACGACACGCTGACTGGTTTGCATGCGATGTATGGCTCTCAACGGGCCGCCGGTGGAAAGAAGTTAACCTCGGGTTGCTCTGGCGCTGGACAGCGTCTCATGGGACCACAGCACGAAAGCTCGGCTTACGAGCGCTATGCCTCGTGTGTTTATATATATAGAAGCCGCTGGCCTGCCCGGACAGTTCACAATTGCGAGCTTCCGTTTCGCGATGAGTGTTCGTCAGCGCGACTTGGCCGAGAAGCGGACGGACGTCGTCGACATCGCGACGCTGCCCATGATCCCGAGCGACAGCGACATGCTTCCGCCGCTCGAGAAGCAGCCGTCGACGCGCGCGCTCGTCACGCCGCGCCACATTGTGCGCGAGGCCATGGGCGACAAGCGCGAGCTGTCGGTTGTCGCCGACGACGACAAGGACGCGCCCGCGCACTGGAGTGTCATCCTGCCCGACTCGCGCTTCCGCCGGTTCTGGGACCCGCTGCAGCTCGTCCTTCTCGTCTACGCCTGCGTGTTTTCGCCGTACATGACATGCTTCCGGCTCGTGCCCCTCGAGGGCTACGTGGCCTACTACAACCTGGTACTGAAGGTGTAGTCGCCGCGCGTGTTGACGGTGCGTAGACGGCCGCCGACCTGCGTGCGAACGAGCGGTTCATCCACACGCTTGACGGCATCGTCAACGCACTCTACGGCCTCGACCTGCTCTTGAGCTTTCGGTAGACTCATCTTCGAGCACTCGGATCGTAGCGCATGCGTAGTTTTGCCTTTGTCGATGTCAAGTCGGGCTACGTCGTCAAGCGGCCCGAGCGCATCGCGGCGCACTACGTACACGGGTGGTTTGTCTTTGATTTGCTCGTGACGATCCCGTGGGACCACGTCGTCGGCGTCTCGACGCCCAAGGACGCCATCATCCTCGAGCTCATCCGCATCTTCCGCCTCGCGCGCCTCACCAAGATCCTGCGCCTCATCAAAGTACTCGCGTCGATACCCAATGATACTTATGGGCGTGGTAGTACGGACAAATTGTCGAGTTTCTTGAAGACCAGACACCCATGAGCCGCAACATGGTCGTCACCCTCGAGCTGCTGTCGACCATCTGCCTCGTCGCGCACTACACGGCCTGCGGCTTTTACATGGCGGCGCGGCTCAACGCCACGTACATGGAGAACTCATGGCTTGCGACGCTCAACCTGCTGAACGCGTCCCCGTTCGACCTGTACATCGTGTCGCTCTACTGGGCCTTCACGCTCATGACCACGGTCGGCTTTGGCGACATTTACCCCGTCACCACGTAAACACCTACCCCTTAGCACTACGATCTGAGAGCGGACTAGGCAAGAGCGCGTCTTTACGATCGGGGCTATGGTCATCTCCGCGGGCACGTACGCTTACGTCATCGCTTCCATGTCGTCGATCGTCGCGTCCATGAACGTGACGGAGTCGCGCTACTACGAACGCCTGAACGAGGTCAACGCCTACATGAAGGCGCGGGACCTCCCCGCGTCGCTCCAGCTTCGAACCCGCAAGTGCGAGATCGGTGGGATATGCAGCAGGAGAGATCATGTGCTTAGGTACTACCGGTATTTCCTGCAGCGCAAAACGGTCTACAACGAAGCAAGCATCCTCGAAGACCTTCCGACCAACCTCAAAAGCGAGGTCACGGAGCACTACATCAAGGTGACGATTCGCGACGTCGCCTTCTTCCACGGTACGACTGCTGCGTTGGCCTTCGCCCAAAACATGTTGTTAGACTTGCCCCATGGGTTTACGACCGAGATCGCCATGCATCTCAAGCCGACGTTCTTCCCGCCCAACTCGCTCGTCCTCAGCGTACAGCGCTCCGTGACAGTAGCGCCGTGATGATAGCACTGGGTGTAGATGGGCGACACGGCCGGCGAGATGTTTATCGTCTCCAAAGGTGCGATCGAGTGTTGTGCACTTCAGCTAAGGTCTTGCTTAGGGATCCTGCACGTAACACTGCTCCATCACGAGACGCAGCAAGAATTTGGGATCGCGTACCTCTACGACGGCGATCACTTTGGGGAAATGGCGCTGCTGCTCGAAGAACAGGCCAAGAAGCGGTCGGCCAACATTCGATCCAAAACGTACTGCGAGCTCCACGGTACACGTGTGGCTCGTGTGTGGGTCCTCATTTAGAGCAGGCCTCGAGTACACGAGCCTCCAGGTCGGGCTCTCGCGGTACCCGACGGTGCTGGACAAGCTCATGGACATGGCCGTGTCGCGCCAGATCCTCCTCAACAACCTGCAAAAGACCAAGGTGGCCAACATGGTCTTCGCCATGCAGAGTACGTCGCGTCCGATGATGGCATCTGAGGTCTTATTGCCGCCACACTGCTAGAAAAGGTCTCGGACCGCAAGTTTCAGCGCATGGCGGCCGAGACGCAGAGCCGCCTCGTGGGCAAAGTCTTCTCGAGGATCTCGCGCGCGTCCAAGTGTTAGCGCCGATTTTTCCGAAATTATTTATTTCATCAAGCATCAAGTGGCTATACTTAGCAGAAATAACCAAAGGCGCGTCGTGATGGACAGTCCAACGCACGGGCCCACGGGCGACGCGTTGCTGCCGCTGGATATTGGCGACGCGCTGCCGCAGGATATTGCTGATGCGCTTGGGCCTGGACTGAGCGAGTTTGGAGACGACGAAGCCGACGACGTCGTCGAATCGCAAGCTAACGACGAAGACAGCGAGTCGTGGGCCTCAGACCCGCCCGAAGTTGTAGTCGCCTTGGCCATTTCGGAGTCGCGGGCGCGACTAAGCGTCATGCTCCCGAGCGATTCGACGCCGGTTATCGACACCCTCAGCGACCGCGCGATCGAAAGGCTCGCGCGGTTGCCACGCACCACCGACGAACGACAGCCACTGCGTGGCGCCCGGCTCTCGCGCGTCTTTTCTGTGCCAGAGAGCGAAGCCCGAGCGCCTGAGGTCCTCACAGCGTCGACGACGCAGCTCAAGAGCGTGGGCGCAATGTTGGGACCTTCGCCGTCGCGCACACTCGTCGCATCGCCGTCAAAGGCGCACGTGGAGCCACCGGTGTCTCGTGTAGCGACGCGCATTGCGGTGCCCAAGCAAGGCAAAGAGGACCTGCGGCTCGTAGCCGACAATTTTACTGCCGACGAATCACGACGCTACTGGTTCATCCTGCTGCCCACCGCTCCGGCGCTCGTGGTCTGGAACGGCATTCAAACTGGCGCTCTCCTCTATGTCTGCATCGTCGCGCCGTATTTTATTTGCTTTACGACTCAGCCGCTCGAGGGCTACATTGCTCACTACAATATCGTTGACGTTTCACGAAATACCGAGAGGCTCACGACTGCTACCTAGACCTTGGACCAGCTGCGCGCCACGTACGCCTGGGTTGACACGACCGACCGCTGCATGGACCTCTTCTTCGGCGTCGACATTCTGCTCACAATGCGGTGCGTTTGTATCAATGTATCAGCGCAACATGTGTTTAGCCTCGCGTTTGTGGACCCGAGGTCCGGGAGCGTCGTGCGTGACCCGAGAGCTATTGCGCGTCGGTACATGTGCGGGTGGCTCCTCTTTGATATTCTCGTGACGCTGCCGTGGGACCTTCTCGTTGCCGAACCAAACGCTGTCGCGAGCCTCGTCCGCGTTTTTCGGCTGGCCAAGCTCGCCAAGGTGCTGCGGCTCGTCAAGGTCCGGTTCTCCTAATATGACGATGGCGAATCACCCGCTTCCGGCCTAGTACGGTCAAATTCTCGAATTCTTTGAGGACCGAACCCGCCTGAGCCGGAACGCGGTCGTCGCGTTTGAGCTCCTGGCGACGATTGCGCTCGTCGCGCACTACACCGCCTGCGGATTCTACCTCGTGGCCCGCCTGAACGACGACTACCTCAACACATCGTGGCTCGCCACACTGGGCTTTCTCAACGAATCGCCGTGGAACCTCTACGTGATTTCACTCTACTGGTCGCTGACGCTCATGACGACAGTGGGCTTTGGGGATGTCTACCCTGTCTCAATGTAGTCCTAAGACGTGTAGAGTACTTGCCACTAATGCGCGCGTAGCTACGAGCGCAGCTTTGCGATCTTGGCCATGGGCGTCTCGGCCGCCGCCTACGCCTACGTCATCGCGTCCATGTCCTCGATCGTGCTGCTCATGAACGTCAACGAGACGCGCTACTACGAGCGTCTGAACGAAGTCAACGCCTACATGAAGGCGCGGGACCTCCCCGCCTTGCTTCAACTGCGCACCCGCAAGTATACACTCTATGGGATTGTCGTCACGGCACCACAATGTGGGCTAGATACTACCGGTATTTTCTGCAGCGCAAAACCGTCTACAACGAAGCTCGCATCCTCCACGACCTGCCTTCCAACCTCAAAAGCGAGGTCGCCGAGCACTACGCCAAAGTCACGATCCGCAACGTCGTCTTCTTCCACGGTGAACAATATTTACATTTGTTCGTCAAGGCGCGCTCAAGACACGATATATATTGGATAGATTTACCAAGGGGTTTTACTACCGAGATCGCGATGCGGCTCAAGCCAACATTCTGCCCGCCCAACTCGGTCGTCCTTACGGTACTGGCGCGGCGCGACCTTGCGGCCATCAGTGCTGTCGTAGAAAGGGGAGGTGGCCAACGAAATGTATATCATATCCAAAGGTGCGTCATATTGGTACACCCAAGTCCAATATTCCATTCAGGCATGCTGCACGTGACACTGCCGCACAAAGAATCACAACAGGACATTGGTATTACGTACCTCTACGACGGCGACCACTTTGGAGAGATGGCGCTGCTGCTCACAGACCAGGAGCGAAAACGCACGGCCACGGTGCGCGCTGAGCTCTACAGCGAGCTGCACGGTGCGACCAATATTTCAATATGGGAAATGGATATGCACCACGCTCGTAGGGCTCGAGTACGAACACCTCGAGTCGGTCCTCGCGCGGTACCCGATTGTGCTCGAGAAACTCATGCACATGGCCGTCGCGCGCATGATTCTACTGACAAATCTGCAGAAGAGCAAGGTCTCGAGCATGATCTTGGCCATGCCCAGTACCAATATTCCTCGTGAGTGAAGCGCGCTTGACCAATATTATGCTAGAAAAAGGCGCGGCCCAGAAATTCCAGCACATTGCGTCGCAGTCCAAGCTGCGCATCACAAAGCAGCTTATCCGCCGACTTTCCCTCACCGCCAAGCTGTGAACAATATACAATATACAATATACAATATACAATATACAATATACAATATACAATATATATTTCTTAACCTAAGTAAGTCGAGAAACAACTGCACTTCGCAATCAAGCAAGGCCGCACCAATGATAGTTGGCGCCCGCACTCGCACAGATCGACTGCGTCCACCCCGCAAAGCAGGCTGCAATCGCGCCATCGTTGTAGATGCAGTTGGTGCAGACGCCGGTGGGTGTTGTGCACGTGGTCGACGGCGGGCGCGTCGTGGCAGGTGGCGCCGGCGTCGTCGGCGCCGGTGCTGTCGTTGACGTCGGTGCCGGCGTCGGCGCAGCAGTTGATGTCGGTGATGGCGTCGTCGGAGCTAAAGTTGGAACTGTCGAGGGTCCCTGTGTTGGCGTGGGCGTTGGCCCCGGCGTTGGCCACGGTGTCTTTGGTGGGTACGCGCTGGTTTGGCACGAGAGGTTGTCGCCCGGCGAGACTCCAAGCACCGAACAAAACTTGATGTAGTTGGCGATGCGCGCTTTCTCCGAGTCCTTGTTGGGCGGGTTGAGTCCGCACTCGAGGCCGCCGTTGATGATGTACGTCGTGTAGGCAAAGCCGCCCGGCTGCCCGACCACGTTGTGAATGTTGCCGTTCCACTTGTCCGTGTTCCAGTACCAGAGCGCGCTGCGCCACACGAGGTTCTTGTCGGAGGCCACGAGCTCTGGCTGGGCCAACAGATCGAGTCCCACTGCAGCGCCAAAGTCCTTGTAGTTGTAGTTCCACGAGAGCTGGATGGCACCGCGACCTAGAGCCATTGGCTACTTGCGCATCAAGATTTACGGTGTGGAGTACCGTAATACTGCTTTCCTGGGTAGCACGGATACGCGGTTGACGCTTGGCAGTAGTCGTTCTTGGCGATCTCTTCCGCGTACTGCAGATACCCCGTCTCCAAAGCGACTTGCCCGAGAAAGGCCGCGACCTCCCGCTTGTCAACGGCGTCATTGCCAGTGTTGGCAAACTTCGGGTACGTGGCCGCCATGAGCACGAGGTTCTCGTACTGGTACACGGGCAGCGCCTGGGGAAACAGCTCGAGGAAGCGTGCCTTGGAGAAGATGGCTGCGAGGCCGCTTGCACACACTGCAGGTGGTAGCAGCGAGAACGAGATGAAGGTCAGTGTTCGAAGCATGGTCAATTGAGCAATGCAGCTAGGAAGGAGGCTCCAAACATTTGGGATCTGACGCTCGACTCAGATGTCAGTCTGAGTCGAATGCGAGCATGGAGTGGGACTATGACAGGAGTCAACGTCCATCTTGACGAGAGGTGGTCTGAGTCGCATCGCAAGAGAGTGGTCGCATGGTTCTACTAGAAGCCATTGTCGACAACAGCTACTACCAAACCATATTGCTCAGAGCCAGGCAAAAGCCTCGACCATCGTTCCAGCCGATTCGTGCCAAACGGTTTGACTCGCGGCTAGTCGAGCCGGTACTTTGGTCCAGCCGGTTACTACTAACGGCTGCGCACTAACCGACCATATTCGGCCAGTTGGATGGTTTGCCGCGTCATAGCAAATACGATAAGGTATGATGCATAGGCGTATTTCGAGTTATCTACGATCGAAAGTCACTCGAGTTAATCGTCTGCAAGACGGTCAGTGGCCGGGCGTACGCGCAGATGCGGAGTCGCAACAGCAGTAGGAAACGTGATCGTGTCAGAGTCATCAGCTGCTTTGGGGTGGCGCGGCTTGGGGCAACTGCCGGCCTTGTATGTAAACCTGCGGTTGCCGCACTTGATCTTGTCTGCAGCGCACGCATTCATGTACGTGACGCCGTCCGAGCCGCACTGCGGCTGCTGCAGGCGCGGACAAGCTTTGACGCCGCACGCGCCAGCTTGGAGGGGCTCGCCGGCAACGAGCGAGAGGAGAAGCGCCAGTAGCAGTGTGCAGCGAACCATGAATGGTGTCGGAAAATCGAAAAGTGAGCACTGAGCTCAATCGTGCACGCTATCTTGTTGCCGGATTGTGTGGCTGACAATTGACGATAGAACGCATGGCTGGCGGACTGACGGACAAGAACTGGTTGTAGACACCGAGCCGTGAAACTATGCGCAGCAGCAAGCGACGACCGCGGTGCCAAGTTACATTCTCTAAAAACTACAATTCGAGTATGTATCTGGTCATGACGTGGCAGCAGGATAGAAGGCGCCAGATGTAGCCAAGCAAGAGCTTGCCAGCATTTCCGCACCAGCCGTCGAACGAACGCGTTGGCGTACTTCGCCGCTTCAGGTCATCACTGAAGAAACTCTTGATAACCACCCAGAGAGCGCTCGATTTCATTCAGAGTTGCGGCAAGAGAATGTCGGCAACGACTTTGCGAGAAAATGTCACCAACTTGGGTTTCGTGTTAGCACAACCGGCGCCTTTGCGACAACATGATCACCCGAACAACTACGCATTTCGACTTGTTAGTTTAGCTCATTTTAATACGTCATGGGACAATATCACTCTTTGTGTAGAGCCAATCACGCCTTAGTTGTCGCGAAACGCGCGTCGAGGCTCGTCCCCCTCGTCGACTGTCGGCGCTCGCAGGTGCGGCGTGGAGAAGCGCGGAAACGTGATCGCATTCAAATCGATCGTTGCCACGGGCCTGCGTGGCGGCGGCGTCTGCTTCGGGCACGCGCCGGCCGAGTACGTGAACGCCCGATTGCTGCACTTTGCCTTCTCCGCGAGGCACGCGTTCGTGTAGATAACGCCGTCCGAGCCGCATTGCAGCTCCACGATCGGCAGACACAACTCGTCTCCGCACGCGTGGACGCCTACGCACGCGACTGCCAGCAGCGCGACGGTCCGCGCTCCTCGCATTGTTTGGTCGATTGCGTGTTTAGAAGTGAGTTGCTGTGGCCAATCGGAGCGCCGTGTGACAGAAGGGACGGGCTGACCGACACGCACCGCGCGTTGCCAACGGCGCTCAGTTCAAGGACGACCTCGCCTTGCGCATTTGTCTGCATGCGTCAAGCTCGTGCGTTAGCGAGATTTAGGTATGACCTACACATGCCATGTGCCGCCCGTGCTGGGCGATCGCCATTTCAAGAAGCCGCATGTCACACTTATTAACCGGATTTTCCGGATGACGTGGCAGAGCTGGAAGCGGCCATTATGCGGAACGTCGCTGCCACTGAGTTGGACTGATAAGATTAAGAATCAAAGCCATTGCAGTAATTTGGACATCTACCAAACACGTCTCTGGCGCAGAGGCTCTGGCGCAGCAGATGTGCTTCAATCCAGCATCAATCAACCCTTGGGCGATTTCATTGGATCAGCTAATTTAGCTCCGCAAATCACATGCGACTAGGTACAATCCAGCGACAGAAAAGTGCAATTGACAACATGGCCCTTTCGCTCAGCGCCGACGTCCTTGGGACGATCGCCACCTTCGTCGCATGTCCCTACACGTTCCAAGCCCTCGTGGAGCTCTCGCCGTACGAAGAGCTCGGCGACCCGCTCCAAGCCTTTGTCACTCTCGCGCGCTCCGTGCCCGCGGCGTACCTCTGGCCTCGCCTGCGCTGCGACGCCCTCACGCCGGACGAGCTCGCATCTGTCGGCGCCTTCGCCTCGCTTCGACCACTGCTGTGCTTTGGTGGTATTCCGCGAGCCAACTACGCCTTCCTGGAGGAGGCGCGCATTGTTTTTACCAAGCCCGTGTCGCTGGCGGTCGCCGCCGCGCTACTGGGACCCAACGTCGATGAGATGTCGCTGGTGCTAGACCAGGCGGACGATCCAAGCGATATCGCAGCCTTTCTCGAGGCATTAGCTGCGACACCGCGACTGCGCAAGGTTCAATTTCGCCTTGGCGCCACTTTGGTGCCACGCCTCGTGACGCCGCTGCTTCACGGGCTCTTCCAGCATCCGAGCATCCGAGACGTGGCCATCGATGGATCTACCTGGGAGACAGTCCCTTCGTTCGTCATGGACTTGCTCCTCGAGTTGCTGCAGCAGCCGCGCATAGAAGCCTTCGCGCTTCGCGGTATGGCTTCTCAAGGGGAGCTCTTGGACGCACTTCGAACCTCGCGACTGCGCAGCATTGACTTTGTGCGCCAAGGCAACCTCAGCGATCGACTACCGTCGTCGCTGCGACACCTCAAACTTAAATCCAAGTTTGGCGGCGCATGGCAGCCTGCCGACGTCCTCGACGGCGCTCGGCTCACGCATCTCGAGCTACTCGGTGCGGCTGCCACCAGCTTCACGACCGAGCCCACGGACCTCTGCTCCGCGCTCCGAGCTATGCCGGCGCTCGAGTACCTCGCCATTGACCACGTATCTGCATCTGACGCCCAGAGCTTGGCCGAGCTCTTGCCGACGCTCGGTCACCTCGAGGAGCTTCGCCTCGACTGCGCAACGCTCTCGACAGCGCACCTTGCATTTCTCGCGCGCTGCCGCCGCCTCCAGCGCGCCGCCTTGCGCAACGTTGCTTGGGACCATGCTCGCTCGTGGGAACATTGGATCGATGACGCAGTCTCCCCCGCGCTGCGCCATCTGTGCCTCGCAGGCCACGCGATGCCAACGGCCGAGATCACTCGTCTCTTCCGCGACCTCTGTCCTCGCCTCGTAGTGTGCTGTCTGAGCACAAACGACCGCTGTGCGCTTCCGGACAAGGATGCTTGAAGCTGCAATTTGATGTTTACTCGGTAACATTTACTCACGAATTATGGACAACTTGTATTTTGTACACAGATGGAGCGCTTCTGCAGGCTACTCTCAAGCAGCTGTCTTTTGCTTCTTGCACGTCGACGGACGGGAATGGTGTCGAGGCTTCGTGGCCGCCGACATTTCTGCGCCGACTGTCGACCGATGCCGGACGCGTCGACGCTTCTTCACTCCTCCCGATCGTCGGAGGCTGCTGCTGTCCTCGATTTGAAGGTGCTCGCATTCGTTCAGCGCTTGGAGCTGCTCCAAGAGGATGTTGGCGAAGACCTTGAGCGAGTCGTTGGGCGCGATCTCCAAGCGCGCTCGAACCCGCTCGCGCAAGATCGCCGGCTGCACCCTCTCCACGATAGCGGCCACAATGAGCCGCCCATACGTGGCCATCTCGGTCTGCAGCGCGGCCTCCTCCACGAGTCTGCCCACTTGAACCCCACGAGTCTGCCCACTTGAACCATAAAGTCAAGGCGCTGGCCGTTGGCATCCCCCGTCGGCGACAAGGGCATGTGCAGCGAGGCAAAGCATTTGCGAATGTCGTCCGCCGACTTGATATGGGGCGTCTCCATGATCGTGGCGAGCCGGGTGCGCAGGCCCCTCTCAGTGAGGCTGGCGGGGTCCATGTGCCAGTCAAACTCGCACGCAACTCTGAGCAAGTCGGGGTCCACGCAGCTCGTCCACGACGCGACGCAACCGGCAAGCGGGACGTTGACAGCCCGGCAGTACAACGCCATGTCGCGGCAGTAGTCTCTGTACGCGCGCCTCCAGCGCACGAGGTCGACCCGCCCCAAGGACGTGATCGGCGGCGCGTTGGGCGGCGAGCGCCAGAGTGGCATCGAAGTGTCTCCCAGCGTGCAGCTCGCTTTGTAACTATGTCGAAGTTTAGCGAGCACAAAAACGCGTTTGTCTAGTAACTTCGACAAATGTGTAGTAGTAGTAAGCGTCTCTAAACTAGACGTGGACGTCGTCGTCGCCTGGTACAATCATGTTGATGTCGAAGGAAAGGCCAGTGTCGTGGTCGGCAAGGCAGTCGTCGTTGTCTTCGTTGGCCATCGGACAGTCCTGCTCGTCATCGTCGTCATCGTCGGATGGATTGTCCGACGGCATCGCAATCGCAAAGTTGATGGCGCCGAGCGTCGAGAGCACGGACGGGTCGAGGCGCTCTGGCTGGTCGCGTATCGCCCAGACAAAGAAGCCGAGGGGCATGAGAAACGCGCCTTCGGGCCACCCGCCGCCACGCATCGGGACGTGGAAGAGCAGTGGGACGCGCGAATCACTGTGGAGCGTCGTGTAGTGCTCAATGCACTGCAGGACGAGCACGGCCGAGTAGACGCGCTTGCCCGTCGAGAGAGGGGTGACGGCCGACGGCACCCAAAGCAGTGCCAGCGACTCGACGTACTTGGTCTCCATCTCGGCCAGCCACGATTCGCGCTTGGCGTCCAGCAGTAGCAAGTCGGTGCCCCAGAGATCGCGCGGCCACGGCGACGTCGCCGGCACCTCGAACGTCGTCGGCGGGTGCGTCGGGAACTCGGCTGCTAAGAGCGTCATACCTTCTGGAATCACGTCGAGCGGCACGTCGTCCCACTCGAAGCCGAGCGCGTCCAATTGCGCTAAAGCCGACGGCATGATACCGGTCGGCGTCAGCTGCCGCAGCCATGCGACGACCTGGCCGAGCGCCATGCCGTGCGCGGACGCCGGCCAGACGGCGACGGGCTGGATGACGAAGTCGCGCGGCACGTGCAAATGGTCAAAGAGGGCCTTGAAGGTCGCGAGCGCCTCAAGCTTGGCGAGCCAGCGCGCGTCGAGGTCGATGCCGCGGACGCGGAGCTCGAACCGGTGGTTCATGGTCGCAAACGTCTGCCCGATTTCAAGCGACAGCAAGCACGCGCCGACTGCGACGTCTGCGAGCTTCTCGGGGCACGCGGGCGAGACGTCGCCGAGGCGCGTGTACTCGGACGGCGGCGAGCGCAGTCGCATCCACAGATCGAGCGCTTGGAGGTGCGCGATCCATTGGCGGTGGGCGTCGTCGAAAAACACAAAGCCGAGCTCCGAGAGCTGGTCGCGCACGGGCGTCGGCATCGCGTCGTCGCTGCGCAGGCGCTGGGCGAACACACCGAGCTTGAGCTTCCACGTCATGGACGGCCACGTGCGGTCGTTCTCGGGCACGACGAACGTCGGCGGCACCTCCAAGTGCCCGTGCATCCGCTTGAACGCGCGAAGGGCTTCGACCGCGACGTTGTAGACCACCATGGACGGGCGCGGCGCCGGCGACACGGGCACCGACCGGCTCGGCGTACTTGGCGTCGAACGAATGTGCGCGATGGGCGAGGGTGCGACCGGTGTTGCCGGGCTCGAGGCCGGTGCGGGTTGAAGGGCGTCGGCCGCCGCGACGCGAATGGCCTCGATCGTCGTTCGCGGCAGCAACAGCATGCGTTTGGCCGTCGTCATGCACTCGACCCAGTGGCCGAGCCGCGCGCCGTGCAGGTCGCTGGGCCACTCGGCGTCAGATGGCACGACAAAATCGGACGGGACCGTCTTTCGGCCGTGGAGACGGTAAAAGATCCGGAGACCGTTCACAATGTGCGCCCACGTCGCCGTCGAGTTAAAGCGAAAGCCGATCGCGCGCAGCTTGGCGGTCTGGTCGGACTGGAGCTTGGTCGCGCGGAGGCCCACGAACCACGCGAGCTCGCCCAAGTGCACATGGTGCCACTGCGTCGGCCAGGCCAGCGTGGCGGGCACGACAAAGTCCAGCGGCACCGACGCCTCGCCGACAACGCGTCGGTAGGCGTCGACGAGCGACACAAAGCCGTCAAAGGGTGGCACGTCGGCCAAGAGACCTATGCTTCGCAGCAGCCTCTCCATGTCGGACGGGATCTCAAACCAGTGGTATCGCAGCGACGGCGGCACGAACGACAAGAGAATGTTGGCGGCGCCCGACGGCCACGCCTCGTCGCCGGCCGGCACAACAAAGTCGGTCGGGATCGCGTCGACGCGGCCGTAGAGGCGCTTGTACACGACAAGCGCTTCGATCTGAACCGACAAGTCGATGGTGAGCACGACGCGCTCGCCGGACGACGGGTCTCGCACGACGCAGCGCGACGAGGGCGCGGCCGAGCGCCACGTCAGACCTATGGCGCGGAGATCGGCTTCTCTTGCGACGTCGTACATGCGCTTGTAGCTGCAGATCTTGGAGACGATGATGCCGAGGCGCATGCCGCGACAGCTCTCGGGCCACTGCCGCGTCTGAACCGACGGCACGACAAAGTCCCGCGGCACTTCGGCGGCGCCGTGCAGTGCGCGGTAAATCGCAATCGCAAGCGCCTTCTGGTGCCAGTCGGCAACCTGCGGCGCCACGGCCGTTGTGGATGCGACTGCCATGGTTGGCGCGACTGCCGGGGTCGGCGGCCGTGGCAGCGGTCCTGACGGCGTCGGTTCCAGCACTTTGAGTTGTTGTCGAGGCGACGGCTCAATCGGAGGCCGCACTTGCGCCGCGTGTCCGAGTCGCGGTTGGGTCTGCAGCCACCGGATGCCTTCTGCAAGCGGGAAGCCGTGGCTGTGCTCCGGCCATGCAACGCCGGTCGTCGGAATCGTAAACGTCGGCGGGAGGCGCGCCGACCCGATTACGTCACGCAGCACTCGTCCCATCGCGCGCAGTCGCGCCTTGATGGATTCGACCTCGGCGGCCGTCTTGGGGGGGACCCACGGCAGAGCGCTGTTGTTCGTTGGTGGCGCCCAGAGTTCGCTGAGAGCCGCCGCGGTGGCGCGTGGCAGCAGCGACAGTCGGTGCGCGACGCGTGTGCGGTCCGACCAGTACCCGAGCCGGAGCCCCGCGAGGTCCGAGGGCCACGAAGCCGGCGCTACGAACGCGCTTGGCACGCGCAACGCGCCGTAGTTGTGCGCAAACTGCTGCAGCCCTCGGAGGATCCGCGCCCACGTTGCGTCCGCGTTAAAGTAAAACCCGGCTTCGTCCAGCAGCGTCAGCTGCTCCGCGTCCAGCGCTCGCGCCTTCAAGCCGACCGACCACGCGAGGTCCCCGAGCGCAAGGCCACGCCACGCCTCGATCCACGGCCCGCCCGACGCCGGCACGACAAAGTCCCGGGCGATGGCGCCCGAGCCAAACTCGGCGCGGTACGTCTTGACGAGCTCCACAAACGTCTTGAAGTCCGGAATGTCAACGACGATGCCCGCGGAGCGCACCCACTGGGACTGGCTGTCTGTGAGCTCGTACATGTGGGCGCGGAGCGACGGAATCACGTACTCGAGCACGACACCGCGCGCCGCGGCCGGCCATGCGTCGTCATCGTCGGACGGCACGACAAACCCGGCCGGGATCTTGAGATGGCCGTGGAGCCGCTTGAAGGTCACGACCGCCGAGATTAGCGGGTCCCAGCGCATGTTGCGGGCATGCATCTTGCCAGAGTCAGCGGACTGCAGGACGGCGCGCGTCACCCCCCGCGTCGTGCGCCAGAGGAACCCGAGAGCGTCGAGCATGCGCTGGCGCTCGGGAGGCACCACAACGCTCGAGTAGCGCAGCTGCGTGACGAGGATGCCGAGTGAGAGTCCGTGGAGGTGCGGCGGGTACGGCGCTGCTGCCGGGACGCGGTACGAGGTCGGCACGGCCAAGTCCCCGTGCTCCAACCGGTACAGAATCATAGCCTCGATCTTGTGATCCCACGGTCGCTGCGGTCGCGGACCGGCTTTGCCCGACATTTCCGAGCCTTCGGTCTCGTTCGGGTCGAGCTTGACGCTACCCTCGCCGTCGCTCCCGTCGTCGTCAGCCGCGCTTACAGGCGCCGATGCTTGCGTCCAGTCAAACCCAAGGGCCTCCAGCGCCGCCTTGTACACGGGGTCGATCCACGGCTGCGTCCGGAGAGCGCAGAGGATAGCGCCGAGCTGGAGGCCGCGTCGCTCGAGGTCAGTCGCCTCGGGTGGCACCACATAGTCTTGCGGCACCTTGACGTCGCCAAACTCGGCGCGGTACGTCGTGAGCGCCGAGAGCACGTGGGCCCACAGTGCAGCCGCGTTCTGTGCTTCATCGTCGGTCGGGTGGCGGCTCTCGAGGCGCTCGATCTCTTGCTGAACGGACGCTGGCAGTTGCCGGAGCTCACGGATGCGCTGGAGGCGGCGATGCCAGCGGCCAAGCTGCAGTCCACAAATGTCCGTGGGCCACGCTTGGTCGTCCGTCGGCACGACAAAGCTCTCGTCGACGTCGACGCTTCCATGAATGGCCTTGTGTGCATGCAGCGCTCGCAGAATGCGCGCGTAGGTCGTCGGAGTGTTGAAGACAAAACCCGTCGCGGCAAGCTCCTCCTCGGCGCCGAACGCGAGCCCCGCGGCCCGCAGCCCGACGCCAAATGCAAGCTCGCCGAGGCAGAGCCCGTCCCATCGTGCGGGCCAGTCGGGCGAAGCAGGCACTTGAAAGTCGAGGCCGACGCTGCCATGGCCAAACTGGGCTCGAAAGACGCGGAGGAGATCGAGGAGTTCAGCCCAGGGCGGGAGGTCCTTGCAGAGCCCGAGCCCGTGGACGACCACTTGCTGCTCGACGTCTAGGTCGTAAAAGTGGTGCGGGAGGCGCCGGAGCATCTCGCGCACGACGATGCCACTCGCCTTGCGCGACCACGGCGGCGAATCGTCTGGTACAGTGAATCCAACGGGCACGTCGACATGGCCGTAGAGCGAGTGAAAGGTGCTGAGCGTTTCCACGAGGTCGACCAGCGGCACCGACTTGGTGCAGCCGACGCCGGGCAGCCGCGTCGCCCGGTGTTTGCTGACCCAAATGAACCCGAGGTCGTCGAGGTCGGCGATGCGGTGGGCGCGCTGGAGGTGGAGCGCGCCCCGGAACGCTGTGATGTACGCGCCGAGCGTCATGCCACGCAGGTGCCGCGGCCACTGACGGTCGTGCTCGCCGACGGTAAACCCCTGCGGGACAAACAAATGCCCATAAATGGAGCGGTACGTAATGAGCGCGTCGACCTTGTCGGCCCACAAGACGCGGAGGCGCTGCAGGCGGCCCTCGTCGGCGTCCACTCGCTTGCGCTTGAGCGAGAGGAGGTTACTCAAAGAGGCCGGCGGTTCGTTCGGCGTGCGTGGCCGCATCGGCGGGTTGACCAAAAGCAGCTTCTTTGCTTGCCAGAACCGTCGCGCAAAGTGGCCGAGGCGCACGCCCCTCAGCGAGGCGTCCCACTCGTCTGTGTGCGGCACGACAAAGTCGGCGGGTACCGGGTTGGCGCCGTCGACGATGGTTTCGTACGCGGCGATGCCTCGCTCGATGGACGCCCACGTCTCGGGCGATTGAAAAAGCAGCTGAGAGTAGTCGAGTTTGAACCGCTTGTCCCGCGGCAGCAGCTCGCGCTTGATGCCGAGGAACCACACGAGCTCGCCAAGGCCGAGGCCATGGAACTCGGTCGGCCACGCGTCGGTGGCGGGCACGAGATACTCTATCGGCACGGTCTGGCGCTTGACGTTGGTCTTGTAGAGCGTCAGGAGGCGCCGGACGTCGCTCCACTGCGGCAAATCGGTGCAGAGCGAGAGCCGGTGCACGGTCGCCACCTCGTCGACGCCCAGATCGTAAAAGAAGCAGCGAAGCGTCTGCGGCGCGTACCACAGCATGGCGTTGGCCGCGTCCGCCGGCCACGCGTCTGACTTTTCGGGCACAATAAAGCCCTGCGGGATCTCCAAGTGCCCGTGGCGGTCGTGGTACGTCTGGAGCGCGGCGACGAGCGCCGAGAGATCGAGCTTCTGGATGCGCGGCTTGCCAAAGACGCTGACGACCGCGCGCTCAATGCCCTCGGTCGGCGCCCACACAAAGCCGATGGCCTCAAGCTGCTCGAAGCGGTCCGGGTCCTGCATCTTGATCGCGTTGCGGGCGTTGGCCGAGATCATGCCCAGCGGGAGGCCATGCAGGTACGCCGGCCAGGGCTCGGTAGCGGGCACGCGGTAGCCCGAGGGCACGCGGCAGTGGCCGTAGACAGAGCGGAAGGTCGCGAAGGCTTGCACCTTGTGCTCCCACGGCGTCTCGATCATCGGTGCTTATGCCAACTGCACCGCGCCGTCGTCACGACCACGTGCAACAGGACCACCTGGTATTCATTTCGACGGATATCATTACAGTAGCCAAGTGTAGGCCGCAGAAGTTCATAAGCTTTGTCGTCGTTGTCTGGTCGTGCACCAATCACTGACGGCGACGACCATCGACACCATTAGCTGCCAAGGCGGCGACCGCCCAGCACCAGTCGTTTTGCCGACTCGTTAACGGTTAAAGCAGCGTGTTTCTAGACACTGCCAGCACCACTGACTCCAAGTCGACACACGATTTCACACTATTTCACGTAGCAGCAAGAACTAGCGACATTGAGGTGGAAGGGTCCTGTCGTCGTGGCCAAACGATGATAGAAGGAAGCGTGTATATATTTATATTAGACTTTTGCACGGGATACTCTAAACTATTGCACGGGATGCCCTACAGCTGGAGGTGGCATATGCGTATCGAACCGTTCGTATTGGAGTGGCAGGGGTACGTGATTACCTCTGTCGGTCGGTCACAGTACTTGGCGCTAATGACGTGGCGCTCTGTGGTGGCATCGTGGAATGGTATGGACGAATATGGTCCAAAATTCGAGTGGAAGCCATTCCGAGTATCTACCAGTATATATATGTGCTTCTCGGTACAACGACGCCCAATCACTATTTTGTTTCATTGTGGGGTTACGTCTACGGCTTGAGAGCGACCAAGGCGGCCCGCCGAGCCCTGGACAGCCGTATGTGGCCGTTGTTGAGCTGCTGCACCAAGTGGCCAAGCGGCAGCGCCGAGCCCGTCATGTAGTCGAACGGGACGTTCAAATGCCCATAGTAGTCGCGAAACTGGTAGAGGGCTTCGAGAAAAGCGCTCCACTCGGCCGGCTCTTCGAGGCAGAACACTGGAACCGGACGCAAGTCCCAGATCTCACCGGGAGACGACGCTAAGATCGTAGTGGCGCGTGCCGGCTCGTGGCGGGCCGTGAGGTCGACCGTGTTCTCGTTCTGGGTACCCTCGTCCGTGTCCCACTTGAAGCCGAGCGCGTCGAGCTGTGCGACGGCCCATTCGACGACACCCGCCCGGCCCAGCTTGCGCAGCCACGAGACGGCGTCACCGAGAGGAAAGCTGTGCATCGCTGGCGGCCAGACGTCGGAGGCTTCGATGACGAACGACCGCGGCACTCGCAAATGGTTGTAAATGGCCTTGAACGTCGCGAGCGCTTCGAGCTTGGAGCGCCAGCGCGCATCAAGGTCGATGCCGCGGGCGAGGAGTTGCGGCCTGTGGTGTGTGTTCTCGAACACTTGGCCAACCTCGAGCCGGAGGAGACACGCCCAGATGGGCAGACCTCGCAGCACCGGAGGGCAGGCGGGCGTCACGGCACCGAGGACCGTCGACTCGCAACGAGTCCGCGTGCTTTGCAGCCACATATCCAAGAGACCCAGGTACATGCTCAGACGCCGCGCCTCCACAGTCTTCGCTGGAATTAGAGCTGACGATGGAATCGAAGCTGGCGACGACGCAACGACGTCACGGGACGGTGTCACGACCGTGTCACTGGGCAACGTCTTCGCTGGAATTAGAGCTGTCAGAGCTGGCGACGACGCAACGACGTCACTGGACGGTGTAACGACCGTGTCACTGGGCAACACATCGGGTGTCCGAGTTGGCGGCGACAAGGCGCGGTGGTCCTCAGTATCGTCCCTGGGATCGTCCGTTGTGAGCGCATCGATGGCCGCGACGGTCTCTGCCGGCAAGAACCGAAATCCCCGCGCCTTTGTGATCACGTCGACCCAGTGCCCGAGCCGGAGACCGTGAACTTCCGTGGGCCACTCGGGTGACGCTGGTACGACAAACAAATTTGGTACCGCCGTCGAGCCATGCAGCTTGTAGTACTCTCGCCAGCCGCGGACGATGCGCGCCCAGGTCGCCGGCGAGTTGAAGACGTAGCCGGTGGCCTTGAGCCGCGCGCGCCGCACCTTGTCCAGTCCATGGGCCTTGAGTCCGAGCGTCCACGCGAGGTCGCCGAGCGCCAGACCCCGCCAGTCGTCGGGCCACTCGTCGCCCGTGGATGGCACCGCAAAGTCGCGACGGACCGCACCGGTGCGATACACTTGGCGGTAGATCGCCACGAGGCGTAAGAGCGTATCAAAGTTGGGCAGGTCCGTGACGATACCGGCAGCGTGCACGCGCTCAGCGTCGGCATCCGAGAGCTCGTACAACTGCGCCCGAAGCAATGGAATGACGCAGTTGAGCACGACATGGTGCGCGGCGGTGGGCCACGCGGCGTCGTCGGGTACAACAAAGCCATCGGGGACGTCGAGATGCCCGTGGAGGCGCTGGAACGTCACCAGCGCCTCGATGAGCGCGTCAAATGCCACTGGCCGAATCTGAATGTCGGGGTCGTTCGGCAAAAGGACACGACAGCGCGAGCCGGAGCCCCGGACGCGCCAGAGAAACCCGATCGTGTCGAGGTCGCGGAGCCGGTCGGGCCGTAGCCGCTTGGACCCGTGGCGTAAGCGGCTCACAACCTTGCCCAGCGGCAAACCGTGTAAATGAGCCGGGTACGGAGCTGTCGCCGGGACGATCAGCGTCGAGGGAACGGCGAGGTGTCGGTGCTCGTCTCGGAAAATGACGAGCGCCTCGAGTTTGTCTTCCCACGACCACTGGCGATTGCCCCGGGGCCGGTCGGTGGTTGCAGAAGACGGACCGATGTCGACAGACGACACACGGGCAACGCCACTGCAGCCATCTTCAACAACGTACGTTGCCTTGATGAGGTGGCGCTTGAGCCCGAGTTTCTCGAGCACCGCGATGCGGTCGGCGTGCAGCGACGACGACTCGCGCAGCAAGGTGGCGACGGCGCCCAGCTGGAGTCCAAGGCAGCCGGAGGGCCATAGAGAGGACGCCATTGGGACGCAAAAGTCCTTTGGAACATCGACGTGCCCGTGGATGATCTGGTACGTCTCGAAGCCCAGCAGAGTCGACTCCCAGAGCGGCGCAGCGTCGCACAACGGCGACCCTTGGTTGAGGCCCTCGACGTCTTGCTGCGTCACTGGTGGCAGTAGACGCAGCACGGACGCGCGCGCGACGAGACCAAACAAGTGGCCGAGGCGCATGCCACAGAGGACAGTGGGCCACGCGGGCGCGTTGGGGACGACGAACGTTGCGGGAACATTCGTGCTTCCATGCATGTACTGGTAGTGGCGAAGGCCGTCGACGACCCGCGACCACGTAGCATGCGCGTTGAAGTCGATCTTGAAGCTGTCGAGCTGAAAGCGCTTTTCGCGGGGCAGCGCCTCGCGCTTCCGGCCGAGGTACCAGGCGAGCTTGCCGAGCGCACGGCCAGTAAACTCGGCCGGCCACCCTTCGCTCGAGGGCACTTCAAAGTCGATCGGAATCGCGTTGCTGCCAGTGAGCGTCTTGTAGAATGCCAGCAGCTTGAGAACGTCTGGCCACTTGAGGAGGTACGTGCAGAGGCCGAGCCCGTGCACGACGCTGGCGTCGTTCGCTGCGAGCTCGTAAAAGTGGCTCATGAGCGTCTGCGGCGTGAAATAGAGCAAGAGATTGGCTCCTGCGCTCGGCCATGCGTTGTCGTTGGTGGGCACGACAAAGTCCTGGGGGACCTCGAGGTCGCCATGGAGCGCGTGGTAGGCATGGAGCGCGGCCACGAGCACCGACAGATCGGTGGTCTGCAAGCAGCGCACGCCGTCAACGACGAAGAGCGTCCGATACACGATGCGACTTAGTGACCAGACAAAGCCGAGCGCTTCAAGCAGTGCAAACCTGTCGGGCGAGAAGGACTTGGCCGAGATGCGCAGGGCGAGGGCAATTTGGCCGAGATGAAGGCCGTGCAGGCGCGCCGGCCACGGCGCCGACGCCGGGACCTTGTACTCTGCTGGGACGCGGCAGTGGCCATGGACGGCGCGGAAGGTCGCGAGCGCCGTCACCTTGTCCTCCCACGAGGTCCGCCGGCGCGACGCCATCGTCGATTGGGCTTGCTTGGCGTCGTCCAATTGGATCGCAGGAAATAGATAATATAGAAAGGCGAAAAAAGCAATAGTTAACAGAAACCAGCATCCCACCACCGGAACGCTGCCAGCCCATTTAGAATGGCTGGCCACTCGGTAGCGGTCTCGAGGCAGACAACCGAGCGAAGGTCGATGGCCCAGAGGTCGGTCTTGGGTCGCGCAGCTGAGGCGACTCTAGTTGGCTCGAGACTGCAACGCACAGTCGCATGGTCGGTGGTCTCGTCCAGTGAGGTCACGGACGCGCATTCGACTTTAGCAGCATCGTGTGCATCTCCAACGTCCTTGTCCTTGCGAGCTGCCTTAACTACGTCCTCATCCACAGAGCTACGACCTCGCCTTTCGACTCGAAATCGAGCGCGTCAGCCTCGGCAACGCGAGCCGGCGTCAGTCGCCGCCACCAAGCAACAACGTCGGCAAGGAAGACCCTGTGCGACGACCGGCGTCTCGGGGTCTCGGGGACGTTTCTGCGCTCGTGGACCGCCTGGAAGCTCAAAAGCGCTTCCAGTTTGGTTCTCCATCGCGCCTTGGTGTTCCGACCTGCGGCGGTGAAGCGCGGCTGCTGAGGGTCAACGCAGCAACAGTCCATGGTCAATAATTGACCCATGAACAGTCGTTTTCACCTCTGGTCCGGATACAGATATGACGTGGCAGCATGGTACGCATCTTTCATACCATGCGACGCACACAAAATTGCGACGCGTATGTCTTTTTTGCTTTAATGTACCGCTCAATCTTGGCATTTGTATCGACACATATATTATCATTTAAAATGCGTCGACGCAAATGCAGACCATATCCCGCGAGCTCGCACTCAGCACGCGTGCTTCTTGGGCACGCGACGCACGCAGTCCGAGTTGAGATTGCGCAAGAGCATCGTTGCAAAGCGGTGGGCGTTGGCTGCCGAGATGTCGGCGGCATACGTGATCCGAGCGCCGTGCGCGTCATCGACGGTCGTCCAGCCGTCGACGGTCGTGTTGATGGGGACATTGGCGACAACCGAGAGCTTTTCTGTTTCGAAGCTTACGAGCGTCGGGTCCACGAGGACACCGGCAGCGAGCGGGTCCCAAAAAGTGGAACGCGTCAAGGAACGTTGGGCCAAAGCAGATGGACTCGGTGACGTTGACGATCATCGACACGAACTGCGCGTCAGCAACGGACGACGACGCGAGCGCCTCCAGCGTCGCCCGCTCGATCGGGTACTTGTCCGTGACGTCGAGGCCCACGAGCTTGATGACGCTGGCGGCCGACGACGCAAACACGTCGCGCGCGGCGTGCGGATCCAAGTAGATGTTGAACTCGGCGACCTTGTTCTCGGCGACGGTGTAGAGGTTGCCTGGCGCGTGGACGGCGCCGCCCATGACAACAAGGTTGGAGATCTTGGCAAACGCTGTCGGGTCCTTCAGGCGCAGGTGGTTGAGCGTCGTGAGTGTCCCGGTCGAGAGGACTTGCGTCGCGCCGGCGTTGATGTGCTTCTGAAGCACCTTCCAGCCGTCGTCGAGAAGCGGGCGGGTGTCGAGATACAAGTTTCGGGGCGGAAATAAGAGCTGGTCGCGCAGGTGCAAGATCGAGTCAACGTCGTTGCGGCCGCACACGTCGGCTTCGGGCACCGAGTCCTGATACAATGTGCCATTAGTTGGTTCGTTGACCATGTTGTAGCGGGCGCCGACGCCGACCTCGACACGGTCCGTGAGACCAGCAAACGCGATCACGCGCAGGAGGCTCTCAATGCCTTCGTCGAGGTGCGACCAGCCGTTGCCGTCGACAACAACAGCCGTAACGTTGACCGTCGGCTCCTTGAAGAGGTACATGAGCGCCATGAAGTCGTCCGTGTTGGCATCGACCACCGCTATCGTCGGCGTCGCGCCGGGTTGCGTGCACGTGTTGGTGGTTTCGACCTCGTCCGTGAAGAGCGTCGTTGGCGGATCGAACGTACTGGCGAGGACCGTCGCTGCGGCCACAACGACAGATGCAAGATGGCAAAGGATGTGCTGCAAGGCAAGAGGCAAAGTGCGCTCCCGAAGCTTTGCTCTGCGCGAACGTCCCCGTCTCAACTCATAGATTATGCGGAGCTGATAGCAGCGCACTGATAGCTCTGTTACACGTTGCGCACATGCACTACGGGGCGGGACACAGCGAGCGATTCGCCTTTCATTATAGTCTTTCGTTATTGACAGGGTTCTCGCCGGGTTCTAAAAGCTACATTGGTAGGAGCTGCATCGCCAGAGGCATCGTGTACGGCGCTGCCCGCGCCAGCGGCGCCGCTTCCGGAATGTCGCTCTCTGTCGGCAGCGGAATCGCAAACACGCGCCAAAATTTAACGTCGACCGCGTAGACGGTCGCGCCACGGCGGTACGTCAAGATGCCGTTGACGACGGCCGACGCCATGTCGAGGTAGTAGACATCATTGTAGAGCCACGTGTCGTGGCTAAAGAGGTACTTGGCGCCTGCGCTCAAAAACAGCGAGTCGACAGTGCACTTGGGCGGCGCGCGCCGAAGCCACCACCGCGTGCTCGCGTACAAGCCGATTTTGCACCCAAAGACGACACTGAGCAGCGTATACAGGCGCTGCTTTTGCCCGATCGCGATCGACGCCGTCGTACACACGAGCTGCATATCGATCTGCGCCACGCGGCAAGTCGGCGCGACGGTCGTGATCGGCGCCACCGGCGCCACACCCGAGAGGAGGCTCGTGACAGCCCAGACGCCCCACGTGTTGAGCATTGCGTAGTACGGCGTGTACGCTTGCGTGTAGACCAGCGCAATGTCGTTGACGACTTCGACAAGCCACGTGACCTCGGACGCGGCGAGCACGATCGTGTACCAGGGCGCTGGCGTCGGCGTGAGAAAGGAGACGCCGTGGCGCCCCGAGAGCCGCAACGTGCTCGTGGAGAGAAGCGCGAGGGCCGTGAGACTGCGCACAAAGACGAGTGGGCGGCCAACCCAGACGAGCGCGCCGACGCGGTTGAGCTTCATGATGTTCTTGCCTTCGACGTGGCCCCGGCAGACGCAGATGTAGACGACGACGACGACCGTGAGCACCATCATCGCACACGTGATGTAGACGTTGCAGTTGCGCGCGTAGGTCGCAAACGTCGTCGGCACCTCGTACGACTGGACGTCCTGCCGACTCGGGTACATAAACTCGGAGAGCAGCGTGAGAGAGCCTTCGTCGCCGGCGAAGTTCACCACCGTGTGGTCCCCGACTGCCCAGTGGTAGAGAAAGCCCCACGCAAAATAGGTGAAATCAGTCTCGTCCAAGAGACCGGCGGTCGCCACTTCCAACGGCGCGGACGCGTTCCATCGTCCGTACTGCATCACGCGGACGTCCAGCGCCGTCACGGTCGTCGCGGCCAGCGTCTTGGCGTCGGTCACAGTCAGCGTCATTGGCACATACGTGGCAAGAAAGGCTGTCGCTGACGCAATCGCGTCGACGCACGTATTGACGTTGGTGAAGTCGAGGTCGCACGTGGCACTCGCGTTGAAGTCTGGCGACATGGAGGCCATGGCGACAGCAAAGAGCACGGGATCGGTGTTGAGGAGCAGCGGTGTTGCATAAGACGTTGCGTAGCAGCCGTAGTCGAACGCAAAGAGCGTGTTCATGCCCGAGAATCTAGTGGGACTCGCAGCGCTCGGCGGCAGCGCGTCGCAGAGCGGGGACCCGCCAAACGTCACGAACGAGCTGCGGGCCCACACAGGCGGGGCCGCCATTGCATTGTACTGGATGTCCAAGCCCGTGTACGCAGCCGCAGCACTTGCATCTGTCCGGAGTGCCGTTCGGACGCTCGTTTCAACCGCGGCGACTGCTGTCATGAGCGCCTGAGGCACGGGAATGTAGTGCATGTCGATGGAGCCAAAGGGGCCGAGCGTCGAGCGCACCGCGGCAAACCCAGGACCTAGCGGTGACGGCAGCGAGCCGTTGCGGAGAAGCACCGACTCGAACGACGCGTTGGCAAATGCATAGTCGGCGCTGTTGACGATGAGACTCGAGCCAAAGACACCGGGCGGGTGGTCCGTGGCGTTGGCAGTGACCCAGCGCAGGTCGTTCCCAAAGCCCCAGTACATTTTGAAGGACGTTTGGCTCGCGAACCGGTACGAGCCATTGAGCGCCGTGAGCGTAAACGGGTAGGAGAACCCGTAAGCGTTCTCGATCGTGTACGAGTTGAGGACGCCGACGGTCTTGTAGTTTTGCCACTGCATCTTGAACGCAGTGACGCCGTGCGCAAGCCAGTACGCGGCTTCGTCGAGGACGGGCAGCGCGATGGGCGACATGGTCGTCTGGAGCCATTTCTGCCCCGACGCCGACGCCCGCAGCGCCCGCGATATCCCAATTTCAAAAGCGTCACCATAGGCTGCCGTCCACGCGTCGCCATCGACGTTGCGCAGCACCGTCTCAAGAAAGACGGCGCCGTTGCTGACCATCGACGCGCAGCGCGTCGCCCGCGTGGACGTGTGCGCCAGCGACCACGTGCGATTCAGGTCCACAAAGCAGTAGGACGTTGCGATCCACGCTGCGTCACTGGCCGACGATCCGCGGAGACCTTTGATCGTCTGGACCAAGCTCGTCGCGTACTGAAGTTCGTAGCGCGCGCCGACGTTGCCCGGGATCGTCAGCGTGTACGTGGGCGCGCTGAAGAGCCCGGGAAGGCTCTGCAAGGTCAAGTCCAGAGGCGATGATACGTTGTTGAGAAGCAGCGCATGGTTGAGATATGTCGCAATGTACGCGTGGATGCCTGTGCTATTGAACGTGGCCCATGCCAAGTCGTTGGCGAGCGTCACCTGCGACACCTCGAGGTACGTGATGGAGCTGAACGTCGATACGCCCAAGAAGAGAACGCTTGTGGTTTGGAGTAGTCGACGGGACCACCGGTGATACCATGTCACAGGAACGTACGCGTCCGAGAGCGGTGGGATCTGCCCCGTCGAGAGCCGACGCAGACTCATAATGGCCTCGAGAAGTTGATGGGAGTTGCGCTTGAGTCGCTCACTGCCGACAACCGAGTCGTCCGAGACAACCCATAGATTCAGGTCGAACGTGAAGCGCCACCGCCCGAGGCGCACTGGAATGAGTCCGCACATGGCACACGTCACGCGGTCGACCGGCGTCGACTTTGAAAACCGTTGCCACGAGATGAAGCTCGTCGCGACGCCCGAGACGACGACCGGGCAGTTGTCGGGGACGCTCTGGCAATGCCGGCAAAGGATCGTGGCGGTGGCAACACCGATGCCGACGCTACCGAGCGCGATCAAACCAAGCGCTTCGGCACGGCTCGTGCAGCCAATACTGATACTCATGCTTTCGCAGTGAAGGTTCATGGCCATGTTGATGGCGGCACACTGCTTGCTCATGGTGGCCTCGAGCAGAACGGGGTCGGCAGCTTCCAGAATCACATAACTGAGCCAGACGGCGAGTGCGCTATACGGTGCGTACACGGCAGTGACACTGGGCACCACAAGCACGAGGAGTTCGGTGATGGCGTACGTTACCCACGTCGCCTCGCTCGCAAGCACGGCGATTTCGACCGGCGACCGCGTATTGAGCTGCAGCCGCGTCCACGCAGCGCCGAGGCGCACGAGCTCGACGTTGGCCGTGCTCAGTAAGAGGAGCGCAGTCGTGCCTCGAAGGAAGACGAGGGACCGACCGACCCATGTCGAGCCAACAACGCGGCTGAAGGCAAAGAGGTTGACGCCGAGGCCGGCGCAGTTGTCGCGGAGACCGAGCCAGAGACAGAGACACGCAACGAAGCAGAGCACAAACGTGGTGTAGACTGTGATGTAATAGACGATCTCGGTGGCATTCTTGATGTAGTGACTACCGCCGCTCGTCGCGTACGGCGTGCTGGCGTAGGCACTCGAGATCAAAACCAGGTCGCCGACATCGCCCTGCAGCGCAACGACTTCGCGAGTGCCCATGAGCCACTCGAGAAGCATCGCAGCACCGAAGAACGCAAAGGGCGTCGCGTCGACAAGCGGCTGGGACAAGAGCGTCCACTGCGACTGCGTGGCGGCGTCCGTCGCAAACTGCGTCATGCGAACATCGAGCTTGGCGAGATCGTTCAGCACCGAAGTCCCTTGGATCAAGCGCAGCTCGGATCCAGCAATGATGCGATCGGCCGTCGCCAGGTATTGGAGACACGTTGGCGACGACGGCAAGGTGTCGAGGGCGCAGATGTCCCCAGGCGTCGGTGAAAGAAGGAGTAAGCGGCTCAGAAGCACTGTCATCGGCAGCAACGACAGTCGGAAGGGTGTGACACCCGTGCATGCATCGTCGTAGTCGAGGAGCGACTGCACGAACACCGTCGGTGCTTTCGAGAGACAAAGCGGATTCCCACCAGCAAACAAGTAGTTGCCAGTCGCCCACGACGCCGGCGCAGGAGCAATGACCAACGGTAGCAGTGTCACGATCGGTTTCGAGAAAGCATCCGTGCCGAGGACACTCCGAAACAGCACTTCCGATACCGACGCGTAGAACCGCTGGAAGGAGTCGGGCACGGGGACATAGTAGGCATCAATGCCGTTGAAAGGACCGACGGCCGCTCGCACCAGCGCCGACTGATTGACAAAGACACCGGCGACTGTCTGCATCCCGAGGAGCGACTCGAAGCTCCTGCTGTCGCCAAGGAAGTTGGGCTCGCTCCGCACGAGACTAGCATTGTAGAGCCGGGCAAAGTAGAGGTCGTTGGCGGGATATCCACAAAACATAATGGACGTCCATGGTCCAATATTCGAAGGCACGTTCTTGATGTCAACCGAGAGCGCCACCCCGAGCGCGTTTGTCAGTGTGATCGTCTCCGAAATCGACGGATCGCGGTCGTTGGTCCACTGCATCTGGAACGACGTGATGTTGCGACTGTACCAGTGCGCGAGCTCATCGGCCACCGATGTTTCGTTGCGCGCACTCGACGTCTTGCGCAACCACTGACGACCGTACGCCGACGCCTCCAGCGCCGTTTCGACACCGACGCTAAACCAGCCCCCGGGGCCGCCGTAGACAGCGAGGTACTCGTCAAAGTTGGTGTTGCGCAGGGTCGCCTCCATGTACACGGCACCATTAGCAGCGTACCGGGACGCGCACCGCCGTTGCCGCGCGGCCGTGTGTGCAAGCTCCAGTCGTCGTTCAAAGTCGACGTAGCAGAGCTGTGTCGAGAGCCACACCAGCTTTTGTGCTTTCGTGGCGCGCAGGTTGGGGATGGCATAGTCCGGCGACGTGAGCTCAATGTAGAGCAGTCGGCGGGCGTACGTCGGTGCGATGAGCGAGAGCGACGTCGGCGCTGTGTACAGCTTGCGCATGGCCATCCGCGGTGCGAGCAAGTCGACGGCGCCTGAAAACTGCCGTGTCGTGAGCTCGTTGTTGACCAAGTCCACAAGGAGCGCTTCGTAGCCGCTAATGTTGTAGCCGGACCACCACAAGTCGTTGGAGAAGCTTGGACGCAGCAGCAGAAGGTAGTAGATGCCCGTTACGACGGCAACGACGACGTACGCGACACCGGCAAACGTCAGCCACGTGACGTGCTGCGGTGGCGGGCGGCTCCGGACTCGGTGCGCGGACGGTGCGACGCGTGGGTGGAGTAGACGCATCAAGGCTTTCTGGCGCGAAACCAACTGCACACGTAACCGGCGACGACGATGTAACTGCAATGACCCACTCAGTATGCGAGACCCTTAGTCGACGTCCGTCCGCCTCTACAAGCGATATCTACCCACGCTGTTGTGCTGCTGCGCCGAGCTGCCTTCCACGCTCCGCGAGGTGGTATATTTGATCAAGAAACCGGTAATTTGCCTCATCTATTTACGCAAAAACAGTAAGTTGACGCAGAACACACCTCGGTATACACCGTTTTAAAAATCACGTGTGAAAAACGTGAAAAATATGATAATCAAATGTCCCAGGATTGCGAGCGTGCCACTGGTCGGTTCATGTGACGTCGAGCAGGCCCGGACGACGCGGCAGGTGACCGCTTGGCCATCGACGGAGATAACGACGACCTCAGACAGGGTGGGTCATGGCTTGGCGCCAGGCGTGACGCCAGCCCAAGCGACGCCAACCTAGAGGCGGCGCAACATTGCTCGCGTGACGATGTAGCAGCAGCAGACGCCGCATCATCCGACGCAGTGCGCTGCGGACCATCAACGACGCACCTCGCGAGCTCTGCTCCGGCGCAAGACTCAGAAGCGTCGTCTCCATGTGGCGCGCAGACGATGCTCGAGCTGCTCGTGGGCCCATCGCGTGATCCAGCAGACAGTGGGACGGAAGTCGACTCGGCCATGTCGAAAGACAGCGACGCCGAGAGCTGCGATACTCCAACGTACGAGGCGGCTCGCGACGCGCCCGAAGGCTTTGGTGACTATATCGTCGAGATCATGCAGACGCCAGAGACGCCGCTGCGCGCTGGCGTCAAGGGCCCGTGCCCGCCCAGTGACAGCAATTCCGCGCTCAAGGTGGCTCGCCGAGTTATCCGGGTCATCTGCACTTCGTTTGAGACCAAGCTCGAGGCGTTTCGAACCTACACGACGCTCCACGGCCATTGCTGCATTCCCGTCAAGTTTTTGACTCCAATCAGTGACGACCCTGGCGTGGGCGACTGGTCGTCGTATCTACAAGGCCTCAAGCTTGGCAGGATGCCATTCCAGCTTCGGCAGGTGCCGCCGAAGCAGCTGCAGCGTATCGCGGCGCTGACCAAAATCGGGTTTCCATGGAGTCTCCGCCCCGGACAGGTGTGTCTAGAATTATGAAGGCTCAAAGCGCCATGTACTGGCTCGCGTTGAATATCTAGCTGATTTATGTTGGAATAAAACAGCAATTGTTGGCCAATCAATGACGCCAAGTGGCCGCGCCTCTGTTGGGGGCTGGCGTTGGGCTCGCTATGGGCAAGAGCCACCACCGAGGCGTCCGTACCACCACCAGATCCAAACCCGGCCTTGAAGCTGCAAGTTCTCGGCGTCTACTACTCGATCACGGGCCACTTGCACGTCTCGCCCAGCTTTGTTGTACCAGCCAATGCGGCCACGTGGCCGCGTCACTTGTGGGGGCTTTCTATTCGACTACCTCCCGGCACCGAGACGCCGTTCGGTCGCTACCGCAGATCTGACGACGTCGACGTCGACTGGGTTACATGCTTTCAGGCGCTCGAGATGTTCCAGTTGCGAGAGGGCCACTGCTGCGTCCCGAAGGAGTACACGGTGCCGTGAGCCGATCGCATGTGGCCTCGATCGCTCTGGGCGTACCCTCTCGGCTCCGTCTTGCACAGTATCCGTGCTGGTCGTGCCCACCTGCCTCGGCCACATCAACAACGCCTTCTCGACCTCGGTTGGATCCTTTAAGACCTAACCCCGATAGAATCTAGTTGTCTCTCACTATTTTATTAACTCGGCGCACCCAACCCCGCGCTTTCAATGTCGAGTGCGATCAGAGCCTACTATCATTGTATCAACTATAAGCTCAGCTCTCATCGGCTTAGTGCAAAGTCGATGTCGGTGACGTGGCATCGTCAAACGTGTGCAGGGCTTGAACGTGGTGGACGAGCGCAACGGCATCGAACGACTTGAAGTGGCAGTGCGGGCATGCGGTCCGCTGCGTCTCGAGTATCTCGCGACTCTCGGCGACGGTCGGCGCGTGGGCGCTTTCAACGTGCGCGAGCAGCAGCACCGGGTCTTTCGTAGAGAAGCGGCAGTACGGGCACACGTGGCGGGAAAACATGTTGCGGACCGTCGTCTGCAGCGCTTCGTACTCGCCCGTCTCGTTTCTCTGGCGCCGAGACAGCACGATGCAGGCAAAGGACGCTAGTAGCAAGAGAAGGACGCCACCGACAACGCCGACGATGATGACCCACGAGCCAACGCCCGAGGCCCTCTCGTCGCTTGACGGCTTTGGCAGCGGCGGCGCCGACCCGAGCGTCGCCGCGCCGAGGGGAGACGTCGACACGATCGAGTAGTCTTGGGCTGACACTTGGAGGGCGCCCGTGACGCGCACGGTGACGACGAGCGGGCCGGACGCACTCGCACTGCGGGTGGCGAGGCCTGCCAGCGTCTCGTAAGAGGCGTCGATCATTTCAATGTTGTTGACACTGTCCCGGCGCTGGCCGTTGGTCGAGAGCGGGAACACCACCTTGTTCGTCCCTGGGAGCAGCACCGAGAGGTCGAGGTCGTTGGTCAGAAGCGACGTGCCGAGGGGCGCCGACGTCTGCGGCGGATCCGTCCATACAATCTGCAAGGGTGAGTACATGGCGTCGCAGGCATGGTACCGTAACGCGGAGGTGGCCGCCGGGCGAGACGCTGACGCTGTAGTCGTGCACGTAGCCTTGCGAGAGCGACGGGACCATGCCTACGCGTGTTACATAGAAACTACGGACTTGAGGACACCTAAGTACCCGTGTGGTTAGGGTAAAAGTACACGGTCGGCGACGTCGCCGTTGGCCAAAGGGTGGCGACGTTAGGACGACCGTAGCCTTGGCGCGGGTCAGGGTACTGCTTGAAGAGGTACATGCCCTTCTTGATCCCGTCGCACGTCGATGTCTGGACATGAATGTCAACGACCCGTGGTCGTACAGAGGACGCTACCGCAGACAAATCGGGCAGCCGTCGGACGAGCGGCGTTGCGCTGTGCAGCAGCAGCGCCTTGAGCAAGCTCGACGGGATCGACGTCATGGCGAACGCCGGCGACGGGCTGCCGTTGACCCAGTATCCGTCGCGAAGCCAGCTGTAGAGAAGCGTCGCCATGCCCGACACGATCGGTGTCGCCTACAACGTTCTGTCGCAGGCTGCGAACGACGGAAGGGTACCTGCGAGGTGCCTTCGAGCCGGCACGTCGACGCGGTGCTCGTCGCATTCTCGCTCGGGAAGGACTTGGCCGACACGAGAAAGCGACCTGGTGCCACCTAAATAACAGTGTAACACCAGGAAGTATACACCAAAGTAGCTACGAGGTCGGGCTTGATACGGCCGTCGCGCGTCGGGCCCATCGACGAGTAATAGGTCAACGCGTCTTGGTTCAGAATGTCTTGGCAGTCGGCCGGCTGCGTGTCGCTCGCCGCAGTTGCTAATGTCTTGTAAGTTGAACAGCATTACTTTGGTTGGGGCGACCGTGTACCTAGCGTCGTGACGTCGGCCAGGGACGCGCCGACCGTGAGGCTGTTTTTGGCGCCAGCCGGACTCACGATGGACGTAGCGCCGTTGCCACCGGCGTTGCCGGCCGCCGTGACGAGCAAAATATCCGGGTGGTCGTACAGGTACTTGTCAATGGCCCGGGTCCGCTATCATAACACTTGCTAGGATACGACGAGCGTAAACGCAGCGTACGTCGTCGTAGTCGTCGGTGGTCGTGATAAAGGCGCTGCCGGTCGACGCCGTGCCCCAGGAATAGGAAATGACTTTGGCGCCGGCCTTGGTTTGGTTGAGAAAGAGAGCTACGGCCACGATCATATTCTACAAGCAAGTAGGGTGGCAGTACCTTCGGGCGTCGTAGGCACTCGGAGCACAACGGCGGAGGGGCACGGCAGCGTCGTGCAGTCGGTGGCAATGTCCAGAAAGGCGATGCGGGCGTCCGGCGCAACGCCCAGCGGGTACGTCGCTTCTGCGTTGCCAGCGAGGATGCCGCTCACGTGCGTTCCGTGGCCGCATGCCTAGATCACGCTCTCAATGCACCGACGAGGCTAGATCATGTACGTGGTCGGGCTCATTCGACTGGTCCTTCTCGTCCGCAAACGTCTCGTAGTGCACGACCTTGCGCGCCTTGAGGTCGAAGCGGTTGTAGACGCTCGACGCCTGGGCGAACTGGTCGTGCGCCATGTACAGGCCCGAGTCGGTGACGCCGACGACCGAGCCGTTGCCCGTCCTAGGATGCGCATGAGCGAGGGTTCGCCGGCCGAAGATGACGCACACGCCATGGCGGTGGAAGGTGCTGATGCCCATGAGGTCAAAGATGTGCGTCAGCGGCGACGCAGCGGCGGCGGCCGCCATCGGCGCCGCGAGCGCAGCCACGAGCGCGAGCCGGTGCATCGTCCCGTGTCACGCGAGCGTCTCGCAGCGCCGTACATCGTACATTCATTGTACGCGTTGTACGTACTGTACCCCAATACATTCTTCAAGTGTGTTGATGCAGAGAGCGTCGCCGTACGTACATTGCACGACCCACAACCCGGTCCTGATCCCAACCCAAGACAATTCTGTACATTCGATGACACTGCAAGCTACCAACCAAAGTCGTAGACTAGTGTTTTCGTAGCGACTAGACCTACGAGAGCTCAAACCCGGCCTTGCTGCGGATCGCGTAGAGCAGCTTGGCGCGCATGACGTCCTTGGACGAGTACGTCGGCAGCTTGAGGAGGTTCATGCACGTGGCGCTTGACGGGAGGCGCTCGTCGTCCGAGATGCGGACTTGCTGGATGCACACGAGCGGCTGCAGCTGCTTGAACCCGAGCAGCGGTTGTCGCGAGCAGCTACACAGCGATCTGAGAGCTCATTCGCAGTCGTGCCAGAGTACCTCGTGATGAACTTGAGGAGCTCGCCGCGGTCGTCGGGCGAGAGGTCGGCGACAATGTCCCAGAACCACTGCATGATCGGCTGCGACGGGTGGTACCCGCCGCCATAGTTGGTGTTGGCCTTCCAGTCGTCGACGTCGACGTCGCGCGTGGCGCCGCCAATCAGCATTTGCAGCTCCGTCTAGCCTCACCATGAGACGACAACGCGGCCACTGCACTACAACGTACGGGGCTGAACATCAGCAGCCACAGCGACGGCAGAATATCGTGGAAGCCTTGGAGGAACGCGTGCGTCGCCGGTGCGATTTGCGCATTGAGCTTGAAGTTCGCGAGCAGGTGAATGTACCGCACGTAGTTGGCCGCCGTCACCGACGTCGCTTGGCCGTTCGGCGCCAGATCCTGCACGTGCACTACACAGAGAATAAGACAATATTCTCCACTCTCGCGCCGACGTACTGGCGCCGTTGCGGGACGTAGCGACGCTGAACGTGAGGCCCATATCGTCGATGAGGCTCGGCGTCTGCTTCATCTCGAGGATGTGACGGTACAGCGTGGCGTCGAGCGACTGAAGATCGTCGAGCGAGTTGAGTTGCCCGAGGAGCTTTTGTAGAAAGAACGGCGCAAACGGCGGCTCGATCAAGATGCCTTCGTACAGCGCCTTGGCGAGGACGCGGCCCAAGAAGCGGTAGTGGCGGCCCGGGTCGCTCCCTACACTATCATGCGTCTCGCTTCCCAAGATCGTAGAGCGTACCAAAGAGGAAGGCAGCGCTTGGGTTTGGGTACAGCAGTCGGTCGTCCGTGGCGAGGAAGAACGGGTGCTAGAGCAACGTTATCCGCGCGTCCCAGCAACAAGAAGTGAACCTCGGTCGAGAAGGCGTGCTTGGTGAGCAGGTCCATGTACTCCTTGAAGACGCCGCCGCCGTCGACGCCGGCCTCGTCCAGCCCTTGGGCGTTCACGAACGTCACTTGCATGCGCGACTTGAGGCCGCCGGCGCCTTGCTCGGCAAAGATGCTCTCGAACGCCTCAAAGCTGTCGGCGATCATCTCGTCGCGGCGAATGCGCAGCGGCCGGAGCTGGCTAAACACGTGGCGGCCCGGGATCTGCGCCTTCTCTCGGTCGATGCACTCGGTGAAGAACTCGACGCGCGACGCAAACGGGATCGCCTGCGGCAGCGTCGAGAGCACAAAGTGCAGTCGCGCGAGCAGCGGCGCCTCAAAGAACTCGTCGAGCGATACGCCGTCTTCGGTCGAGAGCTCGAGGCCAAACTGCTGCAGATGCAGCACCGTCGGCCACACCCACGCGTCCGGTCGCGCGCAAAAGTGGAGCCGCGTGTTCCGGACGAACAGCAGATTCCAGAGCCTGAGCACGAGCCCGAGGTCCAGCAGCGTCATGGCCGAGACGGGCCCTTGCGCGAGCCAGAGCACGTGGTACAACCGGAGGCGCATCGCATCGACGGCGGCAGGCAAAAAGTCGACGTGGGCTTGGAGCGAGAGGTCGTCCGACGTGTGCAGGTACTGCACAAAGGCGCCAGCAAAGAGCACCCAGAGCGGCGACGTCGAAGGGTCGCTCGGATGCCCCAGCGACCGGAAGAGACCGTGAAGGACGCTGCGTTCTGAGAGAGCAAAGAGCAACGACGAGAGCGCGGTCGGGGGCACCAGCATTTGCGCCGAGAGGAAGAACGGCCGCGCCTCGAGACACAGCGGCGCGTACACGCGCGTGCAAACAGCAACAAAGTACTTGGACGCTGGGCACAAGAGCTGGCTCAGAAGCGCGTGGTGCGTCCAGAGCGTGAGCTGGTCGGTGACACCCACCGGCAACGACGCCGGCGCCGCAGCCAACGCGCTTCCTTCGTCATCGGACGAAGCCATGTCGATGCCGAGGCGCCAGTACGCGCTGTGGAGGACGTCGGGCGACACGTAGGCCAACAGGACTGCTCGGTGGTCGTCGTGGAGCGTCAACGAGAGCTACACCGCCATTGAATGAAGCGAAAGGGAGGTAGAGGGGTGTACCGCGAGCTCGAGAAGGTTGCCCAGCACGATAGCGCGCTGCTCGAGACGGAGGCTCGCACGCCACTGCGTCTCGTGGGCGAGCGCCGGCCACGAGAGCGCAGTCTCAAGCCACGCTTTCTACAGAAACATCAGCGGGAATCCCATGGAGATCGACGTACAAACTGGGGCTCGCGGGCGGCGAGCGGCGTCGTCAAGAGCGTTTGCGCAAACGTCGTGTGGAGCGCGTCGGCGTCGAGGAGCTGCGACAGCAGCGGCGCCACGATTCCGTACACTACACCGCCTCTGAGTCATTGCGCGCGAGGACCGCAGGTACGTACACGCAGTCTGGCGCTGCTGGACCGCGGCGACGACGACGTGGAAGAAGCTTTGCTGCGATGGTATCTTGGCCCAGTGCGCAATCGTCGGTAGCGAGAGCCGGGGTAGAACGGCCAAGAGCGCCGGGCTCGACGCGTCCACGCGGAACGCAGTGGCACACAGCATCGCAAGCCGGCGATGCCACGCCCGCGCCACCGCAGCGTCGCAGTTGCAAGCGTCGTCGAGCGATGGCCACGCTTGGAGCACGAGCTCGAGGAGCGCGGTCGTTGTCGTGCTCGACAGGTACCGCTGCACAAAGGTGGCCTCCTGAACGAGCCGCGTCAGCACCGGCAGCGGCACGACAAAGGTATAAAGTCGCTGGAGCGCGGCAATGTCGTTGCACTTGGCCGTCACGGACGCGAGGAGGCTCTGCGTGACCGCGCGCCGGGCGCGGACGCTACGGTACCACGCCTGGACCTTGCTGCTGTTGATGTGGAAGGTGCGCTTCTGGGCGCGCTCCATGCGCTCGCGCTGGGCGGCGGCGACGACGTCTTGCTTGGACGCGGCCGCGTGGTCCCGCCGCCCGCTCATGCTCACGCGCGGCGCCCGCGTTGCCTTGCCGTCAAACATATCTTGCCGCTTCTGTGCCAAACCTGTAGTGCGACTAATCGACTAAAACATTCGGGTAGTCGATCGCGCGACAGGGGACATTGGGTTTTACCCTTTGTCCCACGTCGAGAAGGTACAACCCAAGGCGCTTCCATCACGGTGGGAGGCACCCTCGCGCCGCTTCTTTGGGCAGGTAGCTCCGACCGCGTCGCAGGCAGAGCAACGTACGCGACGGCCTCTTGGTCAACGGGACTTGGCATGGCGCTCGGCGTAGACACGGCCTGTAAAAGTGACCAATCACACGGCCGCACGTCATCTTTTTGGCCAATGGCCTTGCGGCGATTGTGGCGGATCTTGCGATTTTATCACCGCACAGTGGCGACATGGACTTCCTCCGGTCCGTCGAGGAGGACCTGCATGGCCTCATCTACGAGACGAAGAAGAAGCTGCCGGCCGTGCGCGACGCGGCCGAGAAGGGCCTCGAGCAGATCGTGCTCATGCGGCAGATGTACGCGCAGTCGATGCGCGTGGACGCGGCGCCGGGGCCGGGCCACGCGGTCTTCAAGAGCGACGCGATCCTGCAGCCCTTCTTGCTCGTGTGCAACCACGCCACCGCGAGCCAGAAGCTGCTCATCTCGTGCTTCAACAGCATCCAGCGCCTCGTGTCCTGGGACGCGATCACGACCGAAGCCGTGAGCAACATCCTGCGCGTGCTGCAGATCCAGGCCGAGCGCAACAACAGCCAAGACGTACGCGCGTCGCTCGCCATCCACGGCTAACTTCTTTGTAGATCCAGCTCAAGCTACTGCAGACGCTGCTGCAGCTGCTCACACTCGCCTTCACAAACGGCGACGAGCAAATGACCAAGGATGACCTCATTAGCCAAGCCATGTGGATCTGTCTGCACCTGCAAAGCCAGAGCGGGAACCCGATCACCGCCAATACGGCCGCGATGACCGTGCGGCAGATCGTCACCATGGTCTTCGACAACGTGCTGCACCATGCCACGGCGGACGAGGCGGTGCGAACGCGCGCCAAGAACGTCGGCTTCCTTGTCTTCCAGGACCTCTGCCTCATGAGCCGCGAAGAGGCTGGCGTGTGGCTCAAGCGCACAACATTCTCCAAGCTTCTCGGCGTCGAGCTCGTCGAAGCCGTCCTCACGTCGCACGCCGGCCTCTTCCGCGACGACGTCGAGTTTCGGAGCATGCTCAAGCAGCACATCAAGACGCTCGTGACCATGAACCTCGACAGCCTCTTAGCGCCAGCGGCGGTCGCCAACCCGTCGACGTTTCCGCTGCTGCTGCGCATCATGCGGCTCGCGGGCACAGTCCTCTCGCACTTCTCTGCGCTCTTGCCCGACGAGTGCCTCGTCATTTGGCTCGCACTTCTCGAGATCGTCTCAACCGGCAGCTACTCTCCGTCAAGTCCATCATCATCATCATCCACCGGCAAGTCGAACCGGCAGCGAGCCGACCGGACGACCGCGGTGGTCGTGGCGGCACCGCTGACGTCGGCGTCGGGCAGCAGCGCGGCCCCGTCGACGATACCGGCGCCGGCGCACCACGTGACCATCAACTACGTCACGTGGCCCGTCCTATTGGCGATGGAGGTCGTCTCCAAGGCGTGTCACGAGCCCGAAGTCCTCCCGGCCCTGGCGCTGTACCCGCAGCACGTACTGCTGCAAATCGCCCGGCACGTGGCCGCCGTCGTCACGCTGTCGCCGCCAGCCGACTACAAGCCGTCGCACGACACGACGTTCTACCGCAGCGGTCTCGAGTACCTCAACGACGTCGAGACGCCGACGCTGCAGCCGTTCTACCACTGCTTGCGCCTCAGCGCCATTTGTCTCGGCCAAATGGTGTCGGCGCTCACGACGCCGTCCTTAGTGCCACTCACGGGGCAGTACATGCTCACGTCGATCGCGCCCTTCGTGCTAAACGCGTCGACGTGTCTTCTGCGCTTTTGCCGTGACGCAGAGCTCGTCAACCTCGCGCTCAAGTCGCTCCATGGACTCTCGTCTGCCGAAGCTAGCTTCCGCGGTCACCTCTCCCCGTCGGTGCTGGCGTCGACCCGACCGGTGGGCGTGGCGTGTCTCCAGACCCTCTGCGTCTTTTCATTTCCGATCGTACCGGCGTCGCGGGTCGTCAAGTGCGTCTCGGGGTCCGGGTACCCGAGCATGGTCGAGTACTTGCCCGAGGACTTGGTGTTTCTAGTCGACGAGCCGCTCCTGACGTGGAAGGAGATCCAAGCGATGAAGACGCTCTTCCGGTCCGTGCATACGATGGAGAACGACCTCAACACGCCCGAGTGGCGCGTGCTTCTCGAAGGGTTCGAGATCCTCGTCGCGCTGAGCAACCTCAAGCAAAAGGCCAAGGGCGTGCACACCAAGATGGGCACGGGGCCGCAAGCGCTCAAGGTCGAAGACGAAGACGTCGAGCAGCAGCTCGTCATGCTCGGGTTCTCGGTCACCGAGTACTTTCAAAACAGCACCAACGACGGCATCCTCGGCCACGACGCGCTCTTGCATGTTCTCAAGGCGCTGCAGCGCATCTGTCTCGGCCAGCTGCAGTCGTCGACGCCCGAACCCGACGACACCGACACGGCGACGACGACGACGCTGGACGACAACTCGGCACTCACGTCGGCCCTCGCGGACGTGGCGACGAACGAAGCGATGCTCGCGTGGGACGTCGTCTCGATCCCGTACAGCTCCCACCTTCGAGTGTACGACCAGACGCTAGGACTCTCGTCCGTCGCCGGCGCGCCGTTCTCGCCGTCGTTTGCGATCCGCCTCTTTGTGCAGTTGGCCAAGCAGCACCCGACCGCCTGGGCGTACGTGATCCGCGAGCTCGTCGCCCTCAGTTGCGCACCAACATCGTCGCTCGGTGCGTCGTTCCAGGCGTTCACGACCGACGCTGTCTTCCAGCTCATGCAGTCGGCCATCGCTTCGACCCACGCAATGGCGCAAGAAGACGACGTGTGCGGGTTCATGCTGCAACTGCTGGCGTCCGAGACGATGAAGGAGCGGGCGCTCGCTGGCGTCCTTGACTTTTTGCAGGCGTGCGGGCACCTCCTCACGACCGGCTGGCCCACGGTGCTGGCAACGCTGCAGTCGTCGGCCGCATTGGACGCGCGGTGCCAAGTCGTTGCGTTCAAGAGCGTCCGGCTCGTCGTCGACGACCTCCTCGGGAACATGCCGTTGACGTACCGGCGCGAGTGCATCGGGTGTGTCGGAGCGTTTGCTTCGAGCGCAAAAGACGTCAACGTGAGCTTGACAGCTGTCAACGCGCTCTGGAGCATCTCGGACGCGATCGCCAAGCAGGCCACCGACGTCGACGAGCTCTGGCCACGAGCGCTGGGCGAGCTCCGGCGGATTGCGTCCGACCCGCGTCCCGAGGTGCGCAACTGCGCGATCAACACGCTGTTTGGGATGGCGGTCACGCATGGCACGCAGTTTCAGCTGCCCGAGTGGCAGCTCTGCCTCGAAGACACGGTGCTGCCGCTTGGCATGGCCCTCGGCACCGCGACCGTACTCGACGAGGGCGCTGTGGCAACGCCCGGCCTGCGGACGCACCATTCGCGTGACAGCGTCGCGAAGCAGTACGACGAGTCGCGCGTCCTCGTGCTCTCGGGCCTCGCCCGCGTCGTCCAGACGCACGGCGGCGCGCTCATTGCGCTCGACGACTGGTTCCCGAGCATGTGGTCGGCGCTTCTTACTTACATTGGACGGGAAGCGGCGCACGCGTCGTCCGAAGTCGTGCTCGCGGCCGTCCAGACGCTGCACACGCTCCTCCAAGTCGTGTCGGTCGATGGCGTCGATGCGTCGGCGACACCGTTGCGCGCCGGCGTCGGCATGCGCATGGTCGACGGCACTCTCGCGCCCGCGGACGCTTCGGCCTCGACGGCATCCGCGCGCAAGCCGATGCCGCCGACGCCCGTGGTCATTTGGGACACGGCGTTTGACTTGCTCTTGTCCGTGGCGGGCAAGTCGACGACGGACCACGACGCGGACGTGGCGGCCGCGGTGGTCTTGGCGATTGTCCAGCTCTACAACCAGTGTCGGGACCACGAGTGCAAGACGGCGGCCCGGGTCGCCGGCATCCTCGCGCTCTTTGAGGCGTGCATGGACGCCTACGTCTTCTCGCGCCCCGCGACAATCACGGGCGGCACGACCAACTCGGTGCACGCGCGGATCATCAACGCGTACGACGACTGCGCGTACTTTACGCCGGCCGTGCATCGCGACGTCATTGCCCAAGTGCTCACGTTCCTCGTCCGCGCCCAGTCGCTTCACATCACGGTGCTCGTCAAGCACCTGCTGAGCACGCTCGCCAAGCTCGTCGAGCGCATTGCTCCACCGGCGCTCTCGGCCTCGGCGCGCGAGATGCTCACGAGCATCCAGCCGAGTCTCGACACCAAGACGCAGGACGTGTCGACAGCGGCAGCGACGCTGACCAGTGCCGAGAAGGCCGCGCTGGGTCTCTGGCGACCTGCGGTGCCCGTGCTCCAGGCGCTGACGACGCATGCGCTACCCGTGGCGCCAAAAATGGCGCCGTATCTGCTGGCGACGATCGCGACCGTGCTCGGCCCGGCACCCCGGCGCGACGATGACCACGACGACGAAACGCTCGAGCTCAACGTCCTCGACAAGCTCGTCGAGAGCATGGTCGGCCGCGTGCCACCGTCGGCAGAAGGCACGGCGCGCTTCATGGACCTCTTGACGGCGTCGAGCGGGCGGCGGCCGGCGGTCGCCAGTGCGTGCGTCCAACACCTGATCGCGCTCGGGTCCGTGGCCAACACGAACGGGCCGCTGCGCCAGGCGTGCCGCATTGAGCTCCTCTCGCTGGCCAACGACGCCCTCGGCGCGTACCAGCAGCGCCCGACCGAGCACCGCGAGCGGGTGCTCACGCTGCTCTCGACGCTCGGGGCGAGTCCGCTCTCGCCGCGCAATGTGCTCGTGCTCTTCCCGTCGCTCTGCGCGTGCATTAGCTGCGACGACGCCGAGATCCGGTCCTGGATCCAGCGCATCTTGCTCGAGTCCAACGTGGCCGCGACCTGCTTGGCCCTCCTCCACGACGACGTAACTCAGTAAATCCCAATCTTATTGCGATCTTCTCGTTTGTCCCAACATGGGGCACTGGTGGAAAACCGGTTTAGTCGAAACAACGAGTTTAGTCGCTTCCAATTTCGAGATCCTTCCGCTTCTGGGACATGCGCCTCGGGAATTCTGCAGCTCGCCGGCCGCTTGCCGCAGCTCCTCGCCCGCCTGCTCGCAACGACGGGCCCTACGAGGTGGCCGAGCATGGAACCATCAAGCATCTCTATGGGCCCTGCGGCTTATCGCATGCGCTGGAAGAAGAGCAGGTATGCGTTCTCTTGCAGCGCGGCCTCGGTCGTCCGCGGGATGACCGTGTCGTCGTCGTAGCACGTCCACTGGTCCTTGGCGTCGCAGCATGACATGGTGTAGTGGCCGCCGACGGCCTCCATGCCGTGGTGCGCAATGACGGCGAAGAGCTTGTAGACCGCGTCGGCCTTGCGCAGCTTGGGCGAGAAGAGCGTCGTTGGGAGCACGAGCTCGAGCGGGTACTCGACAAACGTGTTGAGCTTGAGCGGACCGAGGCGCGGGTCGTACGTGAAGCGCTTGACGTGGCATGTCAGTACGTTCGGAAGCGACTCGATGAACGTGCGCTTCGTCCCGCGACTCTCCAGCACCTACGTCCCCTCCGTGAGCTGGCGATGGCAACCTAGGTCGTACCTCGTCGGCCATCGAGCTCTGGATCATCTCGAGTAGCGTCTCGGGCGTCGTGCCCATGTTGAGGTGCAGGCAGTGGAACGGCTCGACCGTCGACGCGCTCACCTTGCGGCCGGCCTACATTCGCGCAGCTTGATACATACTTGATACAAGCGCGATCCGACGTACGCGGATCTCGGACCGCAGCGTGCCCTTGAAGAGGTGTGTGATCGGCGACTCGGTCTCGACGACGTTGTGGTGCACGACGCCGACGCGGCCGTGGGCCTGAATCTCTTCCCAGCCCTCGTCCGCGTTGTCTCGCTTGGGGGCTTGCGGGAAGACGCAGCCGCTGCGCTCGTACTCGACGTGGAGGCGGTCGAGCACGAACTCGAGAAACTCGAGTGCGTCCTGCTGCATGCCGTTGGCCATCTGAAACGCTTTGAGAAAGTAGGTGGGCATCGTGAACGCTGTCTTCTTGGGCAGCTTGCGCATGTGCACGTGGAGGCCCAGCGTCGGCTCTTCGAACGCATGGACGAGCGCGAGCATGTGCGACCACGCAGGGTACACGTCATTCGGGAGGTCGACAACCGCCGCCATCGACACGAGCATGCTACAGGAACGTCAGTCGATGCACGAGGAGCAGCCGTACTTGAGGAACGGGGCGCAGGCGAGGAGCGCTTGGAAGGTCACGTTCTGGAAGCATGTGTTGCCTTGGTTGACAAAACCGCTACATCACATTGGAGAAGATGTGGGCGATGGGCTTGCAGTACCGTTTCTGAAGATCGTGGGCGCCAGCGTGCAAGTCGAGCTCCCGCAGCGCATCGTCAAAGGCGGCTTCAAACGACTTGCGCTCGACAATTGGTGCCGGCGGCGCTTCGGGCGCAGGCGCCGACGACGGGGCAAGGTTGTGCGTCGACCACGAAAACGGCTTCTTCGGCGGCAACGGCGGCGTGTCGGCGTCCGGCTCGTCGTTCGAGGCTTTTTCGGGTGCAGCTTCGTTCGTATCTACTTTGGGGGCAGGCGACGGGCTGGCCTTGGGCGGCGCGCCGCTGTTCGGCGCACCAGCTTGTACGCCGGGCTGGCGACCTCGCCCGCCTGCAGGCGCAGACTTCGCAGGCGCTGCTGCTGCCGGTGCGGGCGTTGTCTGCGCAGGCGCCGCTGGTGTGGGCGCTGCGACAGATGGCGTCGTCGGGAGGCTGTGCGTTGCCCACGAAAAGGGCTTCTTCGCAGGCGCCGGGACGGCAGGCGGGGCTTGCACCGGCGTCGCTGGCTTGGATGGCGCCTTCGTCGGTGTTGCAGGCTTGGAGGTCGCTCTTGATGGTGTTGCAGGCTTGGAGGTTGCCCTTGTTGGCGTTGCCGGCTGCGACGGCGGGTTGCTGCGCGGGATGGGCACGTGCACGGGCGTCGGGATCGGGCCCCACGTCTTGCGGGGCTTGGGCGCGGGCGGCGCTGGTCGCAGCGCATGAGGCGAGACGTCGTCAGGCGGCGTACGTACCTAGCGTCTTGGCTTCCTCGGGCGTAAAGTCGCCAAACAAGATCGACTCGGCCATGCTCGTTTCCAACTAAGTCACGACCAAGTGCAAACTCGTCTATTTAATTACTATTTTCAATTCCTTATACAAATGGCAAGGTAAATGCACGACATACAATTCACGGTTCAACCAAACCGCGGCGAACGTGCGTGGAACAGCGCGGTTGGCGCGGGCACGAGGCTAAACCCACGCAACTTTAGCGGCCGGACTCGGCGGCGTCGGCCCTTGCAGCGCACCAGCACGCGGTGGAGCTCGGCCAAAGTGTATAATCTCCATCCATCTCCATCCATCTCGTCCGCGTACGCGTAGTCGATAATCTACACCAGCACTAGTATTAGCTATAAACTGCCAACCACCTCGTTACGACTGGTGTTCTTATGTCAGAACAGCGAATGTAGAAAGGACGTTGCAGTTGTACAGGCCATCGACTCTCTTACTACTGTATGTGTGATGAGTCTAGTCACAGCTACGCGCACAAGTGGTCCTCGGTCGTATCGGCAATCACGCGCCTGGTGAGAGCGGTGCGGATAGACGCCGCGTCGGGGCGGCACCCCGGGTCTCTGTCCATGCAGCGCTTGGCGAGCGCGAGGAACCACGCAGGGCTCGACGCACTCATCTGCGGGCGGGCATTATCTCGAGCCACCGCGTGCCAAAGCGCATAGGCGCTCGCAAATTGGCGGTCGCTGAACGGTACTTGGAGCGTGTCGAGCTCCGAGAGCACAACGCCGAACGAGTAGATGTCGGCTTTGGTCAACGCGCCAATGTCGCCGCGGCTATAGTGGAGCTCGGGTGCCATCCACTGAATAGTGCCGGCGCCCATGACCGTCTCGGGCGTGGCCTCAGCGAGCGTCCGTGCCTCGCCAAAGTCCACCAGCTTGACGCGGCCATCCTCAAGCACCATGATGTTGTGGGACTTGATGTCGAGGTGCACCATGCTTCTCTCGATGTGCAGATACGCAATGGCCTCGATTAGACCAAGTGCAATGCGACACCGCTGGCGCCACGACGGCGCCGGGGAGCGCTGCAACCAATCGCGCAGGTTCTCGCCCGGCGCCACGAGCTCCATGACAAAGCTCGGTTGCGCGGAGGTCACGTGGCGTGTGCCCCGGAACGAAACCACCCTCGGCGATTGCAAGCTACGACGCATCAGCGTCCGAGCTCCGAAGGGCGAGCGTACCTCGCGAGCAGTCGCATTTCACGCAGAAACTTGGTGCGGTTGTGCCGGTCGCTCGCGACGCCTGGAAGCAGCTGCTTGAGCGCACACGGCTCGTCCTTGAAGCTACAGCGCACGACGACAGCGTAGCTGCCGGTGCCGAGGAGCATGTCTCTCGATACAACCAATTGGCCGTGATCGGCCGAGGGCACTACGCAAGCGTAAGGGTCGAGTCCAAGTCGCGTCCGCCTACATCCGGCTGCGGCAACGTCGTCCGAAGTCGCCTCGTGCGTGCAACGCGCCAAGAGCTTCTCCGTCGGACGCTCGGCGCACGCCATAATTTGGCGCTGAAGAGCAGCGACGATTTTCTCGGTCGTGGGGCGCTTGCTCTGATCGAGCGTCATGCAGTGGTTGGCAAGCGCGCGGAACATCGGAGTGCAACCGGGGGACGGCCGCGGTGTCAGCGTACCTTGCTTAACGCGGTAGAGCACCGGGTAAATGCTAGTGCCCGTCGTGTCGGCCTCCAGCGGTGTCGTGGCGGTGTCGACCTCGCACATGAGCACTCCAAACGCGTAGATGTCGGATGCCTTGGAGTACGCTTGCGCCGATAGAACTTCGGGAGCAGCGTACAGCTGGGCGCTGCGGGACAAGTGCCGGAAGCTACTCGACTCGCGTACGTGCCGGGCAGCACCGAGACGCCCGAGCTTGGGCTGGCGGTGGGCGCCCAAGAAGACGCTCTCCGAACACACGTCGCCGTGGATCCAACCGCGCCGGTGCAGATCGTCAAGGCCCTGGGCTACGCCGAGAAGCAAGTAGAGTTTGTCGACGACCGACAGCGTGTGTTGAAGGACGAACTCGCGCAAGCTACCGAGCGGAGGGTACTCGATGACCATCGCCGGAGCGAACGCTGCCATGTTGGCCACGCCAATGAGCTTGACTATGTGCGGCGACTGCACGCTCTGAAGCCTAGAGTTGGGATGATGAGCCACGTGGCGGGCGGCCTTGGTGCGTACCGGAGCAAGAGACTCACTTCGTCAAAGAAGCGAGCTCGCGTGTCGACGTCGATGCCTTTGGTCGACTGTGTCGTCGGACGCTTGATCCAGACGAGCTCGGACGACAGGCGACATCGGAACGTCTCCATGTAGTCGTCGATCTCGACAATGCTCTCAAACTGCAGCGCCACCGAGTCGACGGCAACGACGGACGCCGGTCCTAGTACGGTAATGTGACTTGTCCGCAAACCACCATGACTACCAGGCATATCGAGCGTGCTGCTCGGGTGGAGGAGGTCGTACAGCCGGCGCACAATGGAAGCTGGTGACGGACGCGTCGTCGGATCTTGTCGCATGCAGTCGGCTGCGAGCTGGGCGAGGCCGCTCGGGCAGTCGGCGCTGACGTGCACATTGGTGCCGCCAGAGATAATCGTCGCGAGCGCGTGGTCCGTCACGATCGACTCGTGCGGCTGTTTGTGCGTCTCGAGCTCATACAAAAGCGTCCCAAAGGCAAAGACGTCCATGGCCGACGTCGGTTGCGCGTTTGCGAGAAAGACCTCGGGGGGGTACCACCGCGACGCGCCCGTGCCGAGGGTGACACACTCGCGGAGGCGCGTTGTGAGCGCAACGCCGACGTTGGTGAGACGCGGGCGAAAGGTGCCGTCGACCAAGACGTTGTGCGAGGTCAAGTTCATGTGGCAGACGCCGAGCGCGTGGAGATGCGCCAGACACGCGATAATGTTGTGGGCACACCAAAGCTTGAGGCGCCAGTAGAACGGCCCGGCGTACGGCGGGCACTCGGCGAGGACGTCACGGAGGCTGCGCAGACCTCGTCGATCAACGACGAGACATGGCACGGGCGGCGGCGGCTCACATCCAAGCAGCGACGTCTGGGGTACGTAGCAGACACCGAGCACGCGCGGCATGTACGTATCGCACTGGACCCTACGAGTTCTGTCAGCGCGACAAACAGGAGGTACGCAAACCTACGCGAGGAGACGGGCCACGTGGTCCAATAAGTCTCGGTGACCGAGCGCACCTTGCTGACGCGCCTGGTGGACGGCGACGGAGTGGCCATCGTAGGTTCCCCGCCGAAGCACGACATCGCCGTCGGTGCCGTCGACGTCCATGCCGCAAGTGAGCAACCCGGCGTCGAGGGTCGCTACGCGATAGTGCGACAGAAGGTCGTCGAGCGATGTGGACGGCTCGAGGAGCGACGCCCGCGGCGTGAACGGGGCGACGCTTGCAGCCATTGTCGGCGCTGGCAACAAAGCGCGTGAGCACTTGGTGATCCTCAAAGTCCGTTGGTGGTGCTGATTTTCGTACACGACGCCGTCGTTGGCGCCGTGGCGTTCGAGTACGTCCACGACGTCTGCGATGGACATGCGACCGTTGACGCATGCGGTCGCCAGCGTCAGCAGCCACGTCGGCGTAGGCGGTACATGGAACAAACAGTTGGTGGCCGCCAGCGCCGTGGCGCGCGTCCGCATGGCATGAAGCACACGTCCGAGGCCGCGGACGTCTTCGTCGTCGTCGTCGTCCTCGGCATCGACGCCGCTGAGGCCACAGAGCTTGACGTCAAAGTTGGCGCTGAGAAGAATGTGCTTGGGGCAAAGCCGATTGTGCGCGAGACCATAGTTGTGGAGATACGACACGGCCGTCGCCACGCTCCATGCAATGTGGGCTTGGGCCGGCCACAAGAGCGACGACGGGTGCTGCAGCGCGTGCAGATAGCTCTCGAGATCGCCAAGGCCCATGTACTCGCAGACGATACCTGGTGGCGACGACAGGACCCCAACGAGAGTTGGAAAGGCGGTCGAGTCGGCGCGAACGCCGTCAACTGCAGCGCTTCGACCGAAGCATGGTCGTGCCGCTTGACGAAGACGCGCTTCGTACCATAGAAGCCCGCGCCGCTCTGCTTCTCGTCAAACGCGATGGCCGACTCGGGGATCACAGCAGCAACCTCGCTCGCCATGACCATCAACTCGCAACTGATATATGGGTTTTTGCGGGTTGGGAGTGTTTGTCACTTTCATTTTGACTCGGAAGACGATAAGCTTACAGAGTTTGTTGTACACTGGAACGGAATCGCAGCAAAAGCAAATTACGAAGCAGCGGAGCCATGGCTGAAATCCGATGTCTACCCAGGCGCGCCCCGGGGTATTTTTTTGGATACCTCTGCATGCACTCAATAAGACGACATCTTATTGCTCCTTGTTACACGCTCCGGTACACGGGTGTTGGTACGCACGGCGTTGTTTGCTGCAGCCGAGGAACGTGCACTTGCTGCTGCTCCGTCTGCAGGCAGAACTGCCGGCGCGTGCTACGTTGAAACATGGGTATAGTATACCCTTGGTTGGGACCAGCCTCAAGGTGCTCAGTTCCAGCAGCCCCCGCGTTCCGGTCGTAACGGTGCCGCGATTGGGACGAGCCCATTCACGACACACGGGCCTTTAGTTTCGTCGCCCGCCATCGCCAGGTCACAGAAGAGCCGACTGCTACGAGTTGCAGCCGGTGCATACGCTGAAACGGCGTCGGGAGACCCTAACCCGCCAAAGTATAGAACACAAGACAATTGGATTTACATAGGTAAAAGATATACAAATCTACTTGGGGCACGTGCCGTTGACCGTGCCCTTGCCGCCGGCGATGCGGTAGCACTTGGTCGACGGGTAGATGGACATGATGTTGCTCGTGAGCGAGAACGAGAGCGCGCCGAGAAAGATGACGATGAGAGCGACGCCGGCGACCTTGCTCTTGCCGCCGCGCTTCTTGAGCAACTGCATCTGCGCCTTCTGCGGCGGGAGCATGAAGAGCCAGAGGAGCGACCCGAGCTTGCAGCCGTACGAGATGAAGTAGCAGTAGGTCACTTCCCAGCGCACATGCGTGTCGTCGCGGAGGATGTCCTTTTGCGAGACGTCAAAGTACGAGTCGATGTACTTGTAGATGAAGGCCGAGACGGGCGACGCGAGGTTGTTGACCGTCGTCACGAGACCGTACGTCGCGCCTTCGTTGCCAATGTCGGCGATCTCGACCGCAAAGTACGTCGAGATGATGAAGCGGATGCCGCCCGGCACGTTGTCGGCGAGCGCGACGCCCGTGAAGAACCACTGGTTGCGATACCCGTCCCAGATGGTCATGAACGTCACAAAGCCGTCGACGGCGATGACGCCAAAGGTGCCGAGCGCGATCGTCCAGCGCCAGTTCCAGTGGAGACCCCACTTGCCGACCGAGACAAGGATGCCCGTGTAGATCAAGCTGCCAACGACGTCCGAGAGCGAGCTGTTGAGCGGCTCGACCTTGGCCCAGTGGTTGGCGATCGGGTTGCCGGGTGTGGCCGAGATGCCCTGGAACGTCGCGTCGAGGAAGCGGTAGGCGCACACTTGCCACATGATGCGCTTCTGGAGGAGGTCCCAGAACTGCGCGACCCAGGCTTTGAAGCCGAGCGGCTCGCCCTTGGGCTCTTCGAGGATAAAGATGGTCGAGAGCACGACGAGGACGCAGGGCACGAGGCAGATAACGTACGGGACGTTCGGGCCGACGGCCCAGTCAAACGAGCCGCCGTACTCGGGGCCGTTGAGCAAGAACGACAGCACAAGCGACGCGAGGACGCCCGTGAGCGTGCGCACCGTATAGATCGCCGTCTGGACGCGCCCGCGGATCGCAAGCGGCTCGCGCTGGGCGTACTCGACGACCATCGCGTCGGCCGAGCAGTCGGCAACGACGTACCCAAACGAGACGAGCATCGACATGACGATGAAGAGCGTGCCGCGGCCCGGCGCGTCAAGGTCAATGAACGCGTCGATCTCGGCTTGGGTCAAGTTGGCCAGCGGAAGACTGCACTTGTCGGTGCGGCGCGCGTCGCAGTACGGGTTGCCGAGCGACGCGAAGGACATGACGGCGAGACAAATGGCCGTGATGGCCCACCCGATGAGCATCCAGCTCTTGCGGCGGTAGCCAAAGATGGGGAAGCAGTCCGAGAGCATGCCAAAGAAGACCTTGAACGACCAGCCGACGGTGACGAGGACGCCGTAGGACGAGGTTTGGTACCCTTCCATGTTGAGGTAGTTGTTGAAGATCGGGTACGCGAGCGATGGGATGAGACTGTAGATAACGCCGATCGCACCGTACTGCGCAAAGAGGCCAAAGGCTTCGCGGGAGAAGAGGTCGAGCGCGCCGCCTTGGACGATCGCGCCGTCTTCGAGCTCGCCCGGGGACTTGGTCGGGGACTGGAGCTCCTTAAAGTTGTCGGCGTCCGACGCCGCGTTGACCGACCGGATGTACGAGACGCGCTCCTCGAGCTCGAACGTCGCTGTGGCTGCCACCATGCTGCTGCTAGTAGTTGGCACTGCAAAGCAAGATGGAAAATGAAAGACGTCAACGGGCCCGCGGGGCGTGGGGAGCTGCACGCCCACGTGGCGACCGCTCTCGCAAGCGTAACGGAGGCGCCGGACGTGGCCAGTCTCAGCATCCTGAAGACAATACATGTATGCCACCTTAGCCCACCAGATGGCACCGAGCTCGCGTCTGTCGCACGCCACGTTTCGTTTTCTATGGCCAGGTGATTCCCCAGTGCTACCACCGATCCCCACGCAGCGCACGGCGGCGTCCACCCAGAGATGCCCACGGACGCGTGGCGAAGGAATCCCAGCCGCGCGAATCTCGCCATCGAGACCGCTCTCCCTTTTGCACCCCTCTGGTGCGCCCTTTCTATGGCCAGACCATGTACTACTAGTATGAACACTTGCCTTGCGCTGCTGAGTGGTGTGCAGCGCACACTGCGTGGTCATTGCGCTCGTCGCCCGAAAGGTTCTCGGACGTTCTGTCGTGGTGGCCAACGGCGAGATATTGCGCTGTACGAGGTCACCCTGCTCCTGACTGAGCGCGCACTGGTCTAAACTCACTAGTAGACTAGATACATATACGAGCGCGAATAATAATGCTAGCTGCGATTACTCGAGTCTGGAACTGCAAAGTGCAACATGGCATGATCACCTGGGCTGCCACGTGTCTTTATTTGTGGTAAAATTGGCGTTGGCCAACACCACGCAACTTTGCGTCGACCAGCGTTCCTGATCCGAGCAACACACTTCTCGCAGAGCCTCGGACATGGACAGCAGCGCTCCACGTCGCAAAGCGCTCATCGCGTCGCACTGCTAAGGTCTTGCATGGCCCAGCATAAAGCACTACTAATGGCACACAATGCCGAAAATAAAAAGTATTGCCTCGAGTTGGAGCGGCGTGTGCCGAAATTACCCTGCCATGCACGTGTTCTTCAGCGTCGACCAGCGCCACCATGGCGTCGGCCCGGTCAAGTACGCGTGGGACCCGTCCGGAAGCTTTCTCGCGTCGACCGGCACGTCGCGCGTCGTTCACATCTTCAACCGGCTGGGCGAACTCGTCGACCAGGTCGTGCCGCCGTCGCCGTCCATGTGCACGCACCTCGAGTGGAGCCAGCCGTCGCGCGACGCCAAGGCCGCGAGCCTCGTGCTCGCCATCGCGCAGGCCAACGCGACGTCCGTGCTGCTCTGGGCGGCGGCGACGCAGACAACAGCGACCGTCGATGTTGGCGTCAAGGAGATCACGCTGCTCAAGTGGAACAAGCTCGCGCCGACGAGCCAGGCCGAGTCGGCGCACGAGCCGGACGAGCCGCTGCTCGCGATCGGCACGAGCCGCGGCCACGTCTTCTTGTACGACGCGATCAGCGGTCTCCGCGCCGCGGCGAGCAAGCACAAGCGCAAGATTTTGTGCGGCGACTGGAACAGCCAGCGCGAGTTTGCCTTTGGGTCCGAGGACCGCCAGATCACGATCTGCGACAAGGACGGCGCGACGCTGGACCAGGTCAAGATCAAGGCGCCGCCAATCTCGATCCAGTTTGGCGGCCGCGGCCACGTCAAGCACATACTGAGCGTCAACATGGGCGGGCAGACCATCTTGCTCTACGATTTGCTCGAGAAGGACAACGCGCTCGAGCTCGCGTTCCAGGCGCGGTACGGCCGCATCGTCAACTACAAGTGGTTTGGCAATGGCTACATCATCGCCGGCTTCTCGTCGGGCTACGTCGTCATCATCTCGACCCGTACACGACGCTCTTCTCTTCGCATCTCACGCACGATCGACTAGACCTCAATGAGATTGGGCAAGAGCAGTACTGCGCCAAGTTTCACGACGACCATCTGCACGCGATTTGCTACAACGAGACCAACGGCATGGTCGCGACCTGTGGCGACACGTGCATCAAGGTCGTGCGCATGGCCGACTGGAAGGTACCGCCTTTCCCGATCCAGATACATACCACGTGCTTGGCGGTAGGAAATCGCGGTCGAGGACCTTGACCGCGACGCGACGCAGTTTGACGACCTCAACTGGACCTGCGACGGCCGCGTCCTGAGCGTGAGCTGCCACAACGGCTGGCTGCATCACTTTAAGCTCGTACACATGGAGCAGTCGCTGCACCAAGCACTGCTGGAAGACCCCGCGTCGCTCCTCTCGACGACGGGCCTTGTCACGGCGTCGCTCCGGCCGTTCACGCCGACCGTGCTGCTGCTCACGACGCTGGCGCTCGTCGTGCTCGTGCTCTTTTGCATGGCGACGATCATGCACGTCGACATGAAGGTGCTGCTGTACGCGATGGCGGGCTGGACACCGCTGCTATAGACACCATATGGCTCTAAGAACCATCGCCGCGTGCTCCAGCTGCTGTGTTGGTCTGGCGACAAAAAAGACAGAGTGTCGGCGATGACGCCTGCGATATACAAGAGCTGGATTCGATCTTAGCCAAATGTGAGAAACTGGACGCCGGTGAGCGCGAGGAGGTAGCCGATGACCCAGCCCATGCCGGCGGCGACGGTGCCGTTGATGGCCATGTACATACCCGAGAGGAACCACTTTTGGCCAACGTA